TTGATATTAGGGTTATGCAATGGGAAATCCAGGAACAGATTTATTTATCGATTTCAATTCAAGAATTCCCACAGCCAATCGATTGGGTCTCGTATCAGATGAACATTTTGAGGTTAATTAATTTTCATATATATATATATATATATAATCAGTACATTAATCACTACGTTAATTAGATCCTAATATTTTCAATTTTCATGTTTACAGGCAGCAAATATTAGTTGCAATGGCACGTTTTTTCCTCCTCCAACAAATAAAGAATGTGTCGAAGCTATTAGCGCTATTAACGAGGTTACATCACAAATTACATTCTCACACACCCAAATTCAAATACTAATTATTATTATTATTATTATTATTTTTTTTGAAATGGCATACTAATTAGTAATTAAGACAAAAATAGAAAATTTCAGTATACTAAAATTAGTAACATTATTCAAAATGTTTGCGTACTTAATTATTTGACAATTAATTAATATTTGCAGTTGCTCTGCCATATAAATCCAACCCAAATTTTAGATCCTATCTGTAGAAGTGAATGTGCGACTTCGACCCAAACCCGTCTTGAATCCGAGTTTATATACTCTTTAATAGAACTTCCGAATGCTGATTACAAACAATGCAGTGTAAGATTTCTTTCTTTCTGAAATTGAATTTGATTAGATTTCATTATCTTAAACCTAAAAGTGCATATATTAATTACTAGTTAATTGGGTATTCTTTTACTAGAAATATCGCCAATCTATTACTGAAATATGGGCAAATGACATAGATGTCCAAGAAGCTCTTCATGTTCAACAGGTAAATAAACACACATTACGTTTGATGTGTAAATCTGTAATTTTGCTATGTTTTGTTGGAAAATAACGTAATTTGAACAATTTTGTTTTTAGGGGTCAGTAAGTTCTTGGTCATACTGTAATGACACATTGAACAGTGTTTATGTCCATGACATCTCAAGTGTTCTTGCTTATCATCAAAATTTTACCAAGTCTGATCTTCGAGGTTTGATATACAGGTGAGTCTAGTTCACTTTGAAAATGAGATTATTAAATTCAACTTTGTAAACAAAGCTCTGTTGTTCTTTTTTTTTATTTTTTTATTTTTTTTATTTTTATGGAGTTCAACCATTTAGTTAAAAATCTAAATTTGATTTTTTTGATTTCAGGGTAGTTTTCTTTTACACAAAATCGAAATAAATGAATTACAAATTTTTGAACATAAAATTTTGGTTCAAAATAAATAGCAATCAAAGTGAATCGATATTGTTTTAGATGGTTCGATTCGGCTTTCTAACAAAATCAGTTAATTTAAAAATATAAATAATGTTTTTAATTTCGTTTATTTGATTTGATTTGTTCATTCATCAATAAACTTAAATATTAAAATTTGATCCAATTTAATTATTCACACCTATTCAATTCGATTAGTTATTTTGGTTAGGGATAACTGTATTCGGTTGAACTGAATGCTCATTGATAATAAATAGTAATGTTATAATAATAAAATTTATATAATTGGTTAATTAAAATTATTATGAGGATTGCTGAATCAACATTATTATTATTAGCAACTTATTTATATATTTATTACTATTGTTGTCTATTAATATTTAATAACTTGCAACAGTGGAGATCATGACACTGGAATTCCATACATTGGAACACAACAATGGATAAAGTCTCTCAATTTGCCTTTGGTAGAGGCCTGGAGAGCATGGACAGTCAATAATGAAACTGCTGGGTAATTTTTATTAATCCCAATTTACGTTTATTCACATTTATTTATTTACAGTGGTAAAAATTATTATGAAGAATATGTATAAATTTATTTGATGCAGATACACAAGGCAATTTGTGAATGGAAATTTCAGCTTGACCTATGCAACTGTAAAGGCAAGATAAATTTGAGATTTCAATTAATTTTTTGATTATTTTAATTAATATTAAAATATATTTGTTTTTATATATTGTATAGGGAGCTGGCCATTTTGCTGCAGAATTTAAAGCTGAGTGTTCTGCAATGGTTGCTAGATGGATGGCTTATGAACCTCTCTAATTTTTTTTTTTTTTTTTGGAACCTCTCTAATGGTTTATGCATTTGATAATCCTCACATTAAAAATTTATAATAAAATGAGGATTTTTATTAAGCGTTTATTTAAATTAAGTGATTTAAATTACGTTATGAATAATAAAAGAATACAAAATATGGAATTATCCAAAATATTAAATTCATTTTTTTATATTTTATATTTATAAAAGAACATATGGCTATATGTAGCTCATATGTTCTCTAGTAATTTTGATTTGTCCCCCAACAACTACTCCTTAATGGTACACGTCTAAAAGATCTTTTTTCAACTATTAAAGTTCCAAAAAATTGAAAACCAACTTGAATGCTTAAATTCAACAGGAGCTTTGAGAGGCAGATGATGATGGAGGTTAAGGTTTTGAAATTTGCAAAAATAGATAATGAAAGAAAAAGAAAAAAAAAAAAGATAATATATATATATATATTACTTTTAGGCTCAATATATAAATTTCCCCTGAAATTTGCAACTTTAATTTTGTGGTATTCTAAATTTTATGGATGACTTATTTGTATTTGACTTACAAATTTTAGTAATATTGCACGCATTTTCATATTAATAAGAATAATTTTTAGGATTCTATCTTTTATATGCAAAATATTATTTTTGGTATGTAATTAATATAACTTTTAAAATAACAATTTTCATATTTTCAACTATTTGGTAAATGTTTAATTGTTTTGATTTTGCAAATTGAAGTGTTCAATATATGTAATTTTATAAGTTAAAGTATTTGATTGGTCAAATTAAAAGTTGTGTATGCAATAAAGTTAAAGTAACAAAGTTCAAAAGTGAAATTATTATATCCGATTATTATTTTTAACTTTAACCTTTTTATCACACAAGATAAAAAGCTAAATACATAAATATGCTCCCCAACTTGTCAAAGAAAATCTCGTGGCATCCCAAATTATTCCGAGTGACCTATTTTATCCCTCAAGTTGCCAATTTCATTTCTATTGGACACCTGAAAAGGCCAGGTGAAAATCACAACTCTTCAGCGCGAAGGTTAAAAAATTTTGCTGCTATGACATTTAACTAATGAAATACACAGTAAAAAAAAATCAAATCTAACATGTTCGTTTTAGTCTTTTCCACCTTCTCTTCTTTAATCCACTTATGTCTCTCTTTCACCATGAATGTATCATTTTTCTGGCCATGTAATTTTTTTTAACCACAAAAAATACTGATAACTAGAAAAGGAGATGAAAGAAAATAGTAAAAATCAAAGTAAATACAAATAGGGAAAATAGCTTTGATCAGACATACAAATATCAAATCAATTATAAATTATTCCATACACGATTATGTAGAATTCAATTAAATTACATGTTTTAAATTAATTATACCAAATATGAAAATTCATTCAGCAAAATTTATTTACAAAGAAATTTCATATTTTGAATTCATTTATACTGAACGGAGCGTAATGTTCACATATCACGAAATACTTTCATTTCGATTTAAATCAAATTTAAAAACTTTTTAAGAATAATAACCGAGGTATTACAATTACAATTTACAATAATTTAGGTTTAAATTTAAAAATATTTTTTTTTCATGCAAAATTTTCCATGATAATAATAATAATAATAATTCACTTCACACAAGGCACGGTTAGAAAGTTGAACTGTATTGTATTGTACAAAAACCAAAAACACAACTTCGGTCTTCTTCTTCAGCTGTTGAGTGTAGAAAAGCGGGGACCCAAAATTCGTGCGTTTTTCCCCCAAACATAAACCAAAAACCAGTAAGCACTTCTATCTTTAAGACACAAGCGCGCACACGCATGGCGAACGGTCTCTTTGAATTAAACCGTCAATAAACCTTGCAGTTACACAAAATCCTCATTGTTGACGGCAGAAAAATTACTCTTTTTGTTTGGTAGGGTCTCGCTCTCGAGCTGATTTCTTTGCTTGCTCTCAATTCTCAAGAGAATGATACAATTAGGGCTACTTGTATGAAGGCTATTCTTCTATAGGTTCGTTGGGTTTTTCATAAGGGGTTTTTAGGTTAAGAATGTTGAAGATTTATTTGGGTCCAAGTTTGTACTAATTTTTGATTCTATAACTTCAAGGAAATATTTTGGGGGAAATTCAGCATACCCATTTGTTTTATATGATTTTGCTAATGGTGGTCTTTTTTTTAAAAATACTTTTTGAGTTTTTGATTCCCAACATCAGAACATAAGGTGAATTAAATCGAGGTAGTTTGGTGATAGAAGTTCAAAAGAATGTAGTGCACCATGTCTTTTTGATGCACTTCAATGAAGGCTTTTGTTTGAGGTTTTGAGGCTTCAGGTGAAAATTTGTTAATTATAACAATTTTAAAAGAATGTGACAATGACATTACTATTTGAGGAATATTGAATTGATTTTTCATCCTCTTGGCCTGCTTGAGTGTATATCTTTGGTAACATGATAGGAGAAATTAGGGATGATCTAGATGGTCTACATTTAATTTGAATGCATGTGTCCATGTTTATTGTTCTTAGAATTACTGTTGCTTTATTTACTTTATCCGATGATGAATCAATGAACTAATTAGCTGTTTGGTTACTGTAATTTGTGCATTCTATCTACGTGCCAGCCTGTTCGTTTATGATCATTTCCCTGATGACTTCACGTTCTTAGGCATTCAATACATAAAAGATCTATTTGGAAAAACTTTGAGTAGTACCTGGATTGGATTCCATGGCTGTATTGTATTGATCCAATGTACTTGAGATATGATGTCTTTTACCATCTGCTGTTGTGTCAATTAACTAAATGCTTTGTTTAGTTGCTAAACAATGAAGATGGAGGAGGAGTAGAATCTTTTAGGGTCTATTTGGATTGCTAGTCATTTGAAATGATTGACTACTTGAACTCGGCATTATGTTTGTTCTTTTTTTTTTTTTTTAAAATAATTTTACACTTCAAACAAAAATTCAAATGCTTATCGTTTCTAATGACTAGCTATCCAAATGGATCCTTAGATGCTCAAATTTGTTTTTTTAGACTTCTTTCATAATATGGTGTAAGAACTTCTAGGTTTTGTTAATATAATTTGTATGCTCCAGTTGTCCACAAATCTGTTAACCATTGGAGTTAGTGGGATGTTTTTGATAGTGGTAGCGGAAAGTGTCACAATATCATTTATTAGGGATATAATATGCCATATTCTGTATTATTTTCAGAAAAAAAAGAAAAAAAATTTGGAGGCAGAAATGCTTTCTAGACAGTGTATAGACACGCAGAGGGTTCCTTTAAAAATATCTTATTAGTCTTCAACATCAGAACAGAATCATCTAGGAAATCTTGTAAGTTCCTTAGACAGTTGTTCTCCCTTGCCTTAATTACACCATAGGTGGATTATCCTGAGTACATGTAGAGGGCAACCTTCATGGTTTCATGAATGTTTGATGTGTGGCTATTGTGAGTTGACATGAATAGGCAAAGTACAATGATGTAAAATCAATAATATTGGTATGCTAGAACGTTTAGATTTTAAAAGTTTGTTCACTTTGTTTGGCTAACTCAAATCAGGTGGTTGATTGGAAGATATACTGAAGTGCTTTTCTTCTAGCTCCATCACTCTGATGTTTGAGGTTTCAACATCCAGTTCTCGAATTATTTTGTTTTTGTTCACATTCCTGGCAATCAACCAAAGGATAGGTGTCTAAAAAGTGAATCTTCCTCCTCCCTCATCTCCATTTCCCCTCACTGTATTAACATATGTTGGAAGAACATGCCTGGCATGGCATAAATGGAAACTTACAACTACTAGGTATACTTGACAGCGCATAACTGGTATGTCTTGTTTATGTGATTATACCTTTAACATCGATGAAACAAAATGGTAGATCATCTAATTTTATTCTGTATGTTTATAATTATTGTACATCTCTTTATGTTAGTAAGGTCATTTTATCTTTCTATGTCTGCTTTCTAATAATATTGTACATGTGAATGTGATGGTGATTTTTGTTGGTTTTTTAGTTGGTCTTCAAGGCAATTTTTTCTGAATGGCCAACAACCCTCCTTATTCTAGTGTACAGGTAATTTTCCATCAAACATTCGATGCCTTGAAGAACTCTTTGGTATTTGATGTTCTAATCTTGATTGATGTGCAATTCACACAGCAATAGGATTTTTGTTAATCTGCAAATCAGTTGAAAATTTTTTACTGTACTCTTTTTCATTATGTATTTATTTCACTTTTTCTGGATTACTTGACATTCCAAACTTTTAACGCCAGAATTTTATTCCCAGTAGGAGGTACCATGGTAAGTAACCCAGTTTTCATGAGACATCTTTGCTTTAATGTTTATGCATTATTTCGCATCTTTCACTTTGTATTGCACCTCAATCAATCTTGCTACTAAAGAAAAGATAAGAAAAATAATACTTTGTGGATAACATGATGATAATAGTAATGGATAAGCTGTGTTCTTGAAGTATGTTAAGGTGCAAGTGCCATATCATTTCAAAAAAAAAAAAAAAAAACTGTAGAATTTTAACCTCAACTCAGCTCAACTTTAATCTAGTAGGGGTTGACCGTGTGAATCCTTTTCCTTTGAGTTACTCGGTTGAGGACTTGGACCTTTAGAGAGGTTTAGCAGCTAGATCCTTCCTCACTCCAATACCTGCTCATGCTTTTCTTCTTTCTTTCCGTTTCTTTCAATGGAATATAATGAACAGCAAGAGAGAAGAATTCTTTCCGGAGCACTCTAAGTCTTATCGAATGTCTAGTAATCAGTATTTCTTATAATGTCTATGGCATGGAAATTACTGAGAATATTGTGGGAGGATGAGTAGCTGTATGAACTTATCTTAGATGGTAATGGTAAACATTTTGATTTCTTGTTTCATAAACACTGGACGTTGACATATTTTAATACTGTATGAACTGTGACTTGAATACTCTTCATTTACATCATTGAATTTGTATTTTTCCAAACTCCCACAAGAAAAGTTAAAAGGCAACTTGCTTTGACAATAAGTTTAACATTGTTGTTCACATAATTGAGATTAGTTAATGATAGATAAGCATGATATTCCTTATTAAGTTCGTTTAAACATACTTTCTATGTTATTTATTATTTAAATTTGCAATTATTTTTGATGTTTTAGATTGTAGTAACTGCTATTTATCTCCAAGTGTATGCTTTGTCCATTAGACGACAAAAAGCTTTGCTTTCACTAATTGTTGTTTAAACTGCTTATGCCATTGATGGACTTTACTCTTGTTAATTCTATATTCCTTTTGTAATGCAAAAGCCTCTTCAGCCTCCTCTAGTTGGCTCCATGGATCGTCCCCGAAATTATGTTCCACCCATGCCTCTTCAAGTAATGTTTCTCATCAATCAAACTCTTTTGTAGTGTCTAGTTCAACTGCTTAAATTTGGTCTTTAGACATAATTTTCAAACAATTATTGCTGCAGTTCCGACCAGTTGTTCCAGCACAGCAGTCGCAGCAGTTCATTCCTATGTCTGCTTCACATTTCCATCCTGTTGGCCCAGGTGTCCCTGTGATGAATGCTGGATTGCCTTCCCAACCTCCGCAACCCCAATTTCCTCAATCAGTGCAGCAGTTGCAAGCAAGACCTGGACAACAGGGGCAGGGTCCACCACCATCACAAGTCATTTCATTGCCAAATGCTCCAATGAACAGGCATGTTGCACCTGGATCATCACTGCCTCCACCCAGTGTTCCGACTCCAATTAGCTATGCACCTGGTTTAGGGGGCCCAGGAATGCCTCTCTCTTCATCATACACAGTAAGATGCTTGAAATGCCATCCATAAAAAACACTTACTCTTTATTTCCCATCTCTTGTGTGAATTGCAAACATCTTTTCTTTTTCTTTTCTTTTTCCCCCAGTTTGTGCCATCTTCTTATGGACAACCCCCGGCAACTTTTAATGCTGTAACTCAGTATCAGCCAATGTCCCAAATGCATGTACCAAGTATTCCTGCAGGGGGACAGCCTGGGTTATCATCTGTAAATCAGGGTGCTGTTCATGTTACGCCTGTGCAGCACAATGGTGAACAATCTTCAGTTACCACTGCCACTATTCTGGTTGATGCATCTCTCCCTCTCTTTTTCTCTTTTCTTTGTTAGTTTTATGTGTTATTTGTGCTTCTTTGCTATATCCATCGTTGTTCATTACTAATTTCTTCATATTGTTGGCAATGTATTAATTTTCAGGCATCCAGTGTCCAGCCCACTAAGCCTAGTGAAGAGACTACGACAGACTGGAAAGAGCATGTGTCTGCTAATGGAAGGAGGTATAATTGTTGCAATCAACTTTGTTTGGCTGTCATAGTGTTTTCCTATTTTACAGTCAAATATTTTTAATGGATAACTGAAAAACACCAAATCTGAAACCTCGTTATTCAGAGCAAAATCATCTATGTGGCTCCAGCTGCTTGTCTTAATGGGTCATTTTCCTTTGATCTAGAGAGCGGCTTTGCTTCCTTTCTTCTCCCTCTCTCTCTCTCTCTCACACACACTAACTGAAAAACACCCAATCTGAAACCTCGTTTATTCAGAGCAAAAATCATCTATGTGGCTCCAGCTGCTTGTCTTAATGGTCCACATTTTCCTTTGATTCTAAGAGAAGCCGGCTTTGGCTTCCTTTCTTCTCCTCTCTCTCCTTCCTTTCTTCTCCCTCTCTCTCTCTCTCTCACACACACACACACACACACACACACACACACACACACACACCCATTTTGTGATCCTCTAGTAGGTTTTATGTGTTAGAGTTAAGAGATTCAGGCATACATAACTAATTGGTTGAGCTTGAGTTTGTGCATATTGTCTCTGTATCTTTCTTTTTCATACTTGATACTCCTTTAATTGACCTTTATCATAAGATATGCTACTATAACTTGAAAGGTCTAGAATTTTTACAAAAGGCAAGGTATTTTTTTGGAACAACCCAGATGTGACCTGTTATATTGGATTTATTAGATGAGAGCCACATGGGCATGCATTTGCCATTTAGTTACACAGAAGGTAGATACAGACCAAGTTGGATGTTGATGAGAGAGTAATTGATTTCATGTGCATTTCTTGTTCATTTAGTGCTACTATTGCCTCCTTAACAATAAAGTAACACTTAATGTTGACTCGACATATGGTTGAGAGAGTGAAACCAGCCAATGTAATTAATGCTTATAATTAGTATAAATTTAACCTAAACACTCCAGAGACCATGATGAGATGAAAGAGGCTTTCCTTCTCATTCTTCTCCTTCTTTCTCTTACTGAATGAGCATCAACTGTGAACTATCACTCATTTCTCTTGAACTGATAAACATATATTTTCTCCTTTGCCTAAAGGGATTTCCCTTTTGCTTTATCTTATGGACATACATAGAATTTATCTTTGTAGTGATTATAAAGGAACCTTCTGAATTCCAAAACCTGGTATATCCAGCTATGTCCAGGACTAATGTCTGGAATACTGTTGGCTATGCTACAGTTCTGAATGCATCATTGCCTCAGTGTTCTGTTTGGTTTCTTTTTTGTTACTTTCCATATGGTTTATGACTCAAATATAAGAAATTAAGAATGCACCTGCAGCGATGCCAGTCAGTTCTTGTCAGTTTGGTGTATCACTTCCACAATTTCATGAAGCATAACTTTAGGTTCTAATAACTAATGGATGTAAGCCTTACGTAATACAGATGACATTAGTTCAACCAGCACTTTGTGCTACTTCTGATCAAGATTTCATTGACATGCCTTTTTTTTTTTTTTGATCAGCAATCAATGAATTTTATTGAAAGATATATAGAAATCTTGGCATAATTGATGTTTTCAATTCTTTCATGCATAATTGATGCTTAAATTGGATTTTTGTTGAATGCACTACTGACTACTCTTTCCATGGTGTTCAGATATTATTATAATAAGAGGACAAAATTATCAAGTTGGGAGAAGCCTTTTGAATTGATGACGCCAATTGAGGTGAGGTCATCTTACTCATTGTCTGGCCTCTTAACTTCTACACAGTTCTTGGCTGATGACTCAAACATGTTGCGGAATTGAGTGCTTATATGAGTTTCACTAAGTTTATTCTGTACAATTGTGTTAGCCTTCTCTATATTCAAGCTTTTTGTTATTATTACTTCTTTCCGCCCTGCCAGTTGATCCATGGGCAGAATTATTTTATACAAGGCTATTGAATGAAACTTGCCACATTTGCAAACTGGTAATGTCCAGATGTTCAATCAAGTACCACCACTACAATTTCAGTTAGATTTTTTTTTTTTAATTATTTTTTTCATATCCTTTTCATGTACTTTCGGATAGCACTTAGGAGTTCTTTTTTTTTTTAATTATTTTTTTCATATCCTTTTCATGTACTTTCGGATAGCACTTAGGAGTTCTGTTCCATAATTAGACAAATACTGGTGAGGGTGTTTTCACTCTTATTTCTCACCTTTGCTCCTCTTATATACTAGTAATTGGTGGAAATAGCCTAGGTGTCCTAGTAGTTGGAGGGAGTAATCTGTCCACGTTGCCTAGGTGTCCTAGTAGTTGGAGGGAGTAATCTGTCCACGTTCTCGTTTCAAAATGCCTTTCTGAAATTAGTAATGTCTGGCATTTAAAAAAAGAAAATGATGTAATTTTCTATTATTTTTTCTGCAACAAATGCTTCCCTCTGTCTCTGTAACTCTTCCACTGTTTGCTTTCTGACTTATTTGCTCATTTGGATTATTCTTAGGAAATAACTGTGTCTCTCCCATTCTGTCTCTCTTTTTCATTTTAATTACTTTTGCATGTATACCTATGTGGAATTTATTAAAAATAAAATGATAATAAGGCTGTCACTGTATTGCATCGTCAAGTGAGACTGCAAAATGAGTTTCTGCATATTGATTTACATAATTTGATAAAATGCTGTTGAGACATTGTTAAGCTTGACATATACCTGTGATATATTTAGTTGATTATTTGCCATCACATGTTTCCCTCCATTAATTGTTATTCAATTACTCTTTTTCAAGGTACTCTCTCGTGGTAAGTATTTCTGAGGTACTATAAACTTTGTCCTCGCTGATATTTATTGTCATAGGTTCAGTGCCATATAGACTCTTAAAGTTCATTTTTTGCATTCTTGTTATATACCAAGTATACCTTTGTGTGACTTCCGTAGCTGCTTGAAAGGTGCTTACAGGTACATGCTGTGCTACAGTATTGAGAGGTAGGATATGCTGTGGGTCTTTGCTGCTTGCACTACCTACTTTATAGCTTGAATGTTAGTAATTTCTGGCATTTGTGTTATTTATTGTTTGTTTTCTTATTTGCACAGGATCTTGTGTTACTTTATTAATCGCCAAACATTTTACTCCTTGTCATTTTTGACCACAAAAATGAGGATCCTTACTAGGATGTAGGTTTTGTAATATGTTTTCTGGAGTTCCTTTTTCAATTTTAAATTGGCATAATGGCCAAATAGACCATAACTTATCCGCTAATTATCAACTTTAGCCAATCCTTTCGTTTTTAATTGGATTCTTAGCACTTGAAATAGGTTATAGAATGAGTTTTATCTTTTTTGGAAGTTCCATGACACACTTTCAGTAGAAATTTTTGTTACAGTCTTTATGAACTGAATATAGATGAGAGAAAAATAATGCAATTTGGTGCTTGATGAGAAAACAAAGGGACTTACATTGGGATTGAATGGAGAAAGTTGTTTTCATTCTTCAATTTCTAAGTTTCAGCATGTAATTGATTACAAACTTTCGAATAATCTCAGACTGTGCTTGAGGATTAATTTTCGCCGCACCTTCTGTTTTTTTTTTTTTTTTTTCCCTTTGTAATTCAGTGTTCATTGAGATGGTAAATGTTCATTTGCTATACAATGCCCAGTTAAATGGTTCAATCTGTTTAGAAGTTTTAATGCATAAGCTGCCATCAATTTTCAATGGCAAATCCTTTTTTTTCCGTCTATGTGGAAATTGTGGATATATTCCGTTATTGAAATTCTCTACAAATCTTCCAATTTTTTATGTTGATTCTGGCTAAATTCTGATAATTTTACCATAGTGTCCTGGAATAAGATTTTTCATAGAATATTTACTATTTTTAAATTTATCAGATATACCATTTGTTGCTTCTTTATTGGTTAATTTATTTCTCTTATCATGACAGAGGGCAGATGCTTCAACTGATTGGAAGGAATTCACAAGTTCTGATGGAAGAAGGTGCATAACTGAATATACTTCTTTGTGGAGCAATTTATTCATGTTCTGCAATCTCTTGTGGTCATTCTTTTACCTGGAGATCTCTTAATGTGATATTATAATTCTTTCTGTTTATGAATCTCATGTAGGTATTTCTACAACAAGGTTACCATGCAGTCAAAATGGGAAATTCCTGAAGAGTTGAAGGTTGCACCCAAAGACATGTTTATAAGTCATTTATCTCTATTTATCTTATCTCTCTCTTTAAATTCTGTGGATCTAGTATTAACTCTTTCTTTAAAACACATGCTTTCAGATGGCCCGTGAACGAGTTGAAAAGGCATCTATTTCGGAAACACAGTCAGAAACTTTAGCAACTTCTGATGTTCGAGCTTCTGTCCCTCCATCTGTGGATAACACACCATCTAGTACTGATGGTTCATCTTTCACAGCTCAAGGGGCATCCTCAAGCCCAGTTCCTGTCACTCCTGTTGCTACTGGTGGTAATTTGCAATCTGAGTCAGTTTCTGAATTGTCAGCCTTAACTGTTATGCCTTCTTCTGTGAATACCAATCTAGATGAAGTCCAGACAACTGAGAATCCTGTTTCTGGAAGTTGGAAGAAGGTGCATAACTGAATATACTTCTTTGTGGAGCAATTTATTCATGTTCTGCAATCTCTTGTGGTCATTCTTTTACCTGGAGATCTCTTAATGTGATATTATAATTCTTTCTGTTTATGAATCTCATGTAGGTATTTCTACAACAAGGTTACCATGCAGTCAAAATGGGAAATTCCTGAAGAGTTGAAGGTTGCACCCAAAGACATGTTTATAAGTCATTTATCTCTATTTATCTTATCTCTCTCTTTAAATTCTGTGGATCTAGTATTAACTCTTTCTTTAAAACACATGCTTTCAGATGGCCCGTGAACGAGTTGAAAAGGCATCTATTTCGGAAACACAGTCAGAAACTTTAGCAACTTCTGATGTTCGAGCTTCTGTCCCTCCATCTGTGGATAACACACCATCTAGTACTGATGGTTCATCTTTCACAGCTCAAGGGGCATCCTCAAGCCCAGTTCCTGTCACTCCTGTTGCTACTGGTGGTAATTTGCAATCTGAGTCAGTTTCTGAATTGTCAGCCTTAACTGTTATGCCTTCTTCTGTGAATACCAATCTAGATGAAGTCCAGACAACTGAGAATCCTGTTTCTGGAAGTTGTGAGGTCACTGCTGCAACTGTTGATATAGCAATAGAACCAATGTAATGTATTTTTGAAGTCTTCTTTTTTAATCATTAATTATGATTGTTTTATACAGTGTTATGTAGCTTACATTTCTTATGTTCTGAAATTCTTAGGGACAAGTCCAACTTTTTAGGTCAGTATAATTCTAGTTCTGCAAATCAAGCTCCTGAACAAGAAAAAGAGGTATTTATTATGTGTAACTGTCTGGATAATTGGTACTAGATTCTTGCCATGCTTTAATAACTTGATGTGGTTAATGCTTGACAGGAAGCTGGAAAAGATGTTGTGAAAAGTGAAAAAGTCAACAGTATTTCATTGGAGGAAAAAACAGTCAGTCAGGAGCCCTTGACTTATGCTGATAAGCTGGTAAGCTATAAAAGTGATCACATTCCGATATCTCTTATTTTGATTTTTTTTTTCTTATTGAGACATGAGTCCTTACTTTCTTCCTGCCTTAGGAGGCAAAGAATGCATTTAAGGCACTTTTGGAGTCTGCAAATGTTGGGTCTGACTGGACCTGGGATCAGGTGGTTTAACTTATCATCTATAATTTCATTTGCTTCCACTTCTACGGGTACCTGACTTTGTTGCTGACCATGTTAGGCCATGAGAGTGATAATTAATGACAGAAGATATGGTGCGCTAAAAACACTTGGAGAGCGGAAGCAAGCATTTAATGATGTAATTTTTTGCATTTGGTGTTCTTTTAATGTAATTGTGATTCAACGCGTTATTTGTTTCAGATTCAAATTTGGAATGGTCTTATTTGTTTGACACTCTCTGAACTACATTAGTGTTCATCATGATTGCATTCAACTAGTCATTTATCTTGCTGTGAACTTTATATTTCAGTACTTGGGTCAAAAGAGAAAACAGGAAGCAGATAATAGGCGAAGTAGGCAGAAAAAAGCAAGGGAAGAATTTAAGAAAATGCTGGAAGTGAGTTGTTATTATTTCTTCTATCTATCACATCTAGTTTACCCACACAGGGTTAAATTTTCTGTAACTTCTTTTAACTTAAATTCTTTGCAGGAATCTGGAGAGATGACATCCTCCACAAGATGGAGGTTTGAACTTTATATGTCATGTCAATTTGTCTATTTTATTTTCTAGTTAAGGATTCCTCATATTCTTAATAAATTTTGCTCTGCTATTGAATGCCTGAATTGCATTTTAGCAAAGCGATGACAATGTTTGAAAATGATGAGCGTTTTAAAGCTGTTGAACGAGAAAAAGAACGCAGAGAACTCTTTGATAACTACTTGGAGGAGCTTAAGATAAAGGTAGATCTACCTAGCTTGAGTAGTAATGATGACATTTTTTATGCATACAATATGTTACCATATCATTAGCATATATGATATATAAAAGTTTTCTGATGTATTGTCATATCATCGCGCATGGATGATGGATCTTTGCATCTCATTGTTAAAATAAGATATTCTGTTGGATCAATAAATGTAGAGGTTGTAAGTGCCTTCATCCGTCCTGGTCATAGTTACCTAACTTGCTTACCCCTACAGTACCATGATCCAGGATGTGTATTCCAATCATGGTACTTTTGCGATCTGGAATGTGATGGTATTTCAACTGGAACTCCAGTTTTGGAGTATCTGAATCAAATTGATAAGAAAAGAAAAGAAAAGGAAGCCAACAGTAGAGAAGAAAAGTGGAGGAGGAAGAGAGGGCGACTGTGATTGTTGTTTCTTTCTTCATCCTCTGTTTTCCCTTTTGCAGCATAGAAGCTGTACTTTTCTTATTCTATTTGTTTACTCTCTTCACACGTAATTTCCATTTTAAACGGTGGGCCTCTTTAAAACAATACTTGTGGGCCCTGCTAATTTACTATGTCTTTTTTTTTTAGTTATCTCATTCTTTCAATTAAGAAGGCCGTCAACCTATTCAACATAAATATATTTTACTTAAAAATTATATTACAAAAATTTATAAAATAAAATTCTAATCTTAATTGTCAATTTTAAATATTATTTTTGTTAGTTTTAACTTACTATTTATTATGTTAATGATAATTAAAAAAATAGTTCTAGAAAAAGAAAATTTACGAAAGGCCACTTGGTATAAAATTTAACTAATAAAAAGACCAGTGACTCCAGCAACTGCAATTCACATACTGCAGTGATCCAAAATAGCGTACCTACTAAGCCTCCCCCTGCTAACCAGATACTTAGTTAAGTGGTGTATTTCATACCTGTCAATACCAGGACCTGAAATGTAACGTGTTCCAGGTAACTATTGTCCTGGGATATGGTTGGACTAAAAATGGATTTGACATATATTATCAAAAATTCAGAGTGTATCCTTAACGTTTTTTCCATTTGTTCCAGATTAGTGTTTACCACTGTTGCATACATCTATTAACATTAAACATAGTTTCACCATCTTATCTTCCTGAATTGTGGATCATTCTATGAATTGAGATCAATGAATATTAGGAGAACTAAGGCTGTATCTAGTATCTTATATATTTCATTTGTTGTATAAATCGCGTGATTTTGTTAGTTAGAACCTATAGGGATTTTTCTATGGTGCCCTTACATCAGTATAGCAAGCTATCGTTTGAAGATTAACGATTTGAAGCATATATGCCCTGACAGTTCTTTAACTGGATATATTGTCAGGAACAAGCAAAGACAAACGAGGAACGCAAGAGGAATCTTGTGGAGTATAGGAAGTTTTTGGAATCTTGTGACTTTATTAAGGTATCTTCTTGCTAGTTGGTTGATTTACTTCTGTGGTTTCATTTTGCTGTCCAACTTTTCTTTATTTGTTGTTCACTTATTTCCTCTAGGCAAGCACCCAGTGGCGAAAAGTTCATGATCGGTTAGAGGCAGATGAAAGATGTTCTCGTCTCGAAACAATGGATCGCTTGAATTATTTCAATGTAATTTTCTCCATTTAATGAGATAGAATTTTATCTGCATTTTGAGCTAATCGCAGGGTGATGTTTCAGGATTATATACATGATTTGCAGAAGGAAGAAGAGGAGCAGAGGAAGATCCAGAAGGTGCTACATTTAATTAGATTCTCATGAGAGGAAGTAATCTCTGCCACTAATCCTTTTTTTTTTCCCTATTAATTTATTATTAAAATAGGAAGAAATGAGAAAGACAGAGCGTAAAAATCGTGATGAATTCCGTAAACTATTAGAAGAACATGTTGCTGATGGCACTCTGACATCCAAAACTCACTGGCGTGATTATTTTTTGAAGGTTAGAACTCGGCATTGATTAGTAATTAATTGCAGGATTAATATATTTAGTTTCTGCCAAGTTAGATGGTATAATTTTTCTGAGTGATTTCTGCGCTTGTGTATGTTTTTTTTCATGTTTTCATTTCAAATTTATTTGCCTTTCAGGTTAAAGATTTACCAGCATATTTAGCAGTTGCATCAAACACGTCAGGTCCAACTCCAAAAGATTTGTTTGAAGATGTTGCTGAGGAGCTACAGAAACAGGTGACTGCACTTAAGTAGTTCTGTTGAGTTTTTAAAATGACACAGCCTTTGAACCTCTATTTGCTTCAGGACATAAAGCCCGTGAAATATGCTTAATTGTGATTCATTCTTTCCTTTCATGCTCGAGCTTTTTCATCGTCGTTTTTACTAAACTTGATTGATAAAATTGTTCGTGCTTCTTATCAAAAATATAGTAATTATTTTTTATGCAGCTTAAGATTGAAATTGTCATTAACAGAGTATTATTTGCCTGCATTCTCCATCTCAACTATTTAGCTCATTAGTGTAATAGCTGGTCGTTGCTACAGAACACTATTTAGCTCATTATTGTATTGTGACCTTGAGGCTGTGATTTCACATAATGAAAAGAGCTTTTTTTTTTTTTTTTTTTTTTATATTTAGTTTCTGTCCCAAGTTTAGCCAAATATGTGTCATTCCCTAATTGAATTTGTTTCTCTGATGATTGTTCTGGCTTGTGTGTATGCGTGTATATTTGATTTTTATGCGAATGTTTGTCAATTTCAAATTTATTGCCTTTGTCAGGTTAGAAGGATTTTACCAGCATTATTTCAGTGGCAAATCCAAAACACGCCTCTAGTCCAACTCCAAAAGATTTGTTGGATAGATGTGCTGAGGTGAAAGCTAAACAAAGCCACCAACAGGTGATGCACTCTTAGTGTAGTTCATCCGGTGGCTAGTTTTTTACACTTATAATGAGCACAGTCCTTTGTGAACTCTATGCTTCCAGTGTAAATCATCATATAGCCCGTGTAAAAATATTGCTTAATCTGTAGCATTTCATTCTTTCCTTTCATGCTCGAGCTTTCTCATCGTCGCTTTTTACTAAACTTGATTGATAAAATTAGTTCGCATGTCTAATCTTACTCCTCAAATATATAGTAGATTATCCTTTATGCAGCTTAAGATTGAAAATTGTCATAACAGAGATAATTATTTGCCTTGCATTCTCCATTCTCAACTAGTATTAGTTCTTCATTTTAGGTGTAATAGCTGTCAGTTTGAAGCTACATAACAATAAAGCTATTTAGACTCCCATTATAATTGATTAAATATGATCACTTGAGGCTGTGAGTATGTGTCTGAGCATAATGGAAAAAGAGCCTACTTTTTATTTTTCTTGTGTTTTTTTTAATGGATTGGAAAGAGATATGGACCCAAATGGAGTACAAAGGGACCTCCCTTCAACCAGCCTTCAATATGTGAGGCAGTCTTCTGCCGTGGGGAATTCATAGTGAGTCAATTACTGTGCGGTATTGTTGATTGGGTTAGGTTTTTACATAGAAACATAAAAGAAGGGACAAGCTTGACTATTAACAGGTTTAACTGTAGTTTATCTAATTAAGAAAATTCCATGGTGGTATTAAATAGTGCCCTTTCATCGTTTCCATTTCACATGCCAACTGAAGATTGAAACTTACCTAGGAATATTTTTAATGTTCCCTGCCTGGATTTAGTAATTGGAGTCTCTTTATTAAATAGTTGTGTTGAGTATCGCTGTGTTTTTTTTTTTTTTTTTTTTTTTTAATGGGGTAGGCTGAGTACAACAGACCTCCCTTCAAAGCCTGCAATGTGGGCAGTCTTCTGCGTGGGGACAGAGTAATACTTCTATGTTGATTGGTTAGGTTTTTCAGAAAAAGGGACAAGCCATAAGTACTGTGTTTTTAACTAGTTTCCTTGTATTTTTGTGCCTTTATGTTATTTTCCATGCCAACTGAAGATTGAAACTTAAAGATATTTTTGTTTTGTGGTTAGTAATGGGTTCTTTGATTTAGTTGTGTTGGTACCTGTGCATTAATCTTCTGCCTCACATTTACAGTATCATGAGGACAAGACTCGGATAAAAGATACTGTGAAGCTGAAAAAGGTATGATCTGACTGTGCTTCTTTTATAAACATATTTCATTCTTTTAGACATTTGATATGCTGCAAGTTTTCAGGTTGCTTTGGCATCAACCTGGACACTTGAAGATTTTAAGGTTGCTGTACTGGAGGATGTCAGCCATCCACCTGTGTCAGAAGTGAACCTAAAGGTATTTTATTTTCTTGCTGTAATTGAATTTTTCTTTTGTGTTTTTACTTATACTTTTTTGTTTGCTTCATTCAATTGGATTGGCAGCTTGTATTTTGTTGTTAGATTATCAGTTGCTCCTAGGGTTCACTGGCTTACCCCTTTATGTTGGGTTGCTTACAAACTGTTACTTTCTGCTACTTATTAATTTATAAAAAGAAATAAAAAAGAACTTGTTTTGTGATTGGTTTTTGCATATTCACGTCAATGTGCTTCATCACTACTTGCTTTGCAATTGTTCAATGTTGATTATTTGGAATTGTAACTTCAAATGTTTCTTGGTTGTATAAAATCCTCAATTTTGTTCTTTTATGATGGGTTCAAGGTTATCAAAATTACGATTTGACTCGTACACTCATTCTAGTTTCCTAGAACATGTCGAATTGTATACAAAATTGCATATCAGTAAGGTTTTGAAATCACAAATTGCTGTGAGACTTGGAAGAGAAGATTTGTTGTGAGAAACCCGAAAAGAAGAGACAGAAAGAAAGTGTGATTGTGAAAGAGAGAGTTTAAGAGGTACAGAGATTGGATATATTTTTTCTTTTGGGTTTTATAATTAGGGAAGAAGGATTTGCCTTGGAGAGGGAGTTTTATGGATTAGATAGATTAGAGAGAATGAGAGATCGATGGAGTTAGTTGTATGTTAGGATTGGTAGTCATCAACTCTAACTTAACTATTTGTTAGCTAAGAAAATGAGAAAAAACCAAGAGAATAGGAAACAGAAGACAATAAGAGAGGAACCTAAAAACAAGAGAGAATGAAATCTGAAGAGGGGGAAAATTATCTTAATCCTATTTCTTCAGTCAATCACTGTTGTTTAGTAAGTCATTCTCTCACTGTTTTTATGTTTTATTTATATCAACATTTGCATGTTTGACACATTGGCATATTATTGCCACATAAGCAAACTAAACTAATCAAACTAATTGGAAATTACAATTCAATTCAAAAGAACACAATCAAATGACAGTTAAGTCCAAATTCAATAAATTCTAATACAATGTATGTGTCTCATTCCTAACGTTGTATGATAATGGTTCAGTAAGACCCACTTATCCTTTTATTTTTTTATACCTTTTACAAAATCAAAACATCTATAACCTATGACCAACTTAGGACCAATTTGCAGCAGATGCTATGATTAGTTTCTTTGAGGGTTGACGATCTACAAGACCTAATCCTGTAGTTAGGAGAGCTTTACTGGATTAAGAGGTGGGTTACATCATTGAATTTTTGATGGAGTAGATGTGGTGGTGGTATATTATCAGTTGGCTTGTAAATTTGACTTTTGATAGTGTAACGCTTTGTAAACCTAACCAGCCCTAGGATGGGCTCTTGCTTAGCAGTAACAAGATGGCAAGCCTAATTCTGTTTATTATGGCATGTATGTATGAGAAAGAGTGATAAAATTTTAGAATTGGAGTGAGAAGTTGACAAAAAAAACCGTTTTGTGTTATGGGATGGAAGGCACCAACCTCCACTTGTTGTCATTCTGGAGAATTTAGGTTTTAGTGTCATCACTATCTTCTCATTCTGTTTTCATTGGAGGTGCCTTCCATTTCATGTGTTTTGTGGTTTTTTGCTCGTGCTCTTATGGTGCTTAAACTAGAAAAAAAAAAGGTCGACTTGCAAAAGATTGCTATGGGAGCCTTTTTGTGATGTTCATTGAAATTTCCATTTTTGGTTAACCATTTTTTATATTTACATAGAAGAGAAGGAAATACTAAACCAGTATTGATACATTTGTAGCTTTGTTATTGTTCTCAGCAAGGGTGCTAGGTTCCTGAAACAACTCAATGCATTTTTGTGGTGCATCTGGTTCTCCTGGTTGTTTTAAGGCTTAATTTTATTCGTCGCGCCTGAACATACCCTTTTCCCTTTATTGTCCATAATCTTCAAAATGTCCCATAAAAATGATTGTGCTTTTAAATTTGTAACATTAAAGCCTAAAACCCACTTAACTGGTCATTTTTTATCGGTTTGCTCTGCTGGCATGTCAAATCAGAAAAAATTGCCACATAATTGATGCCACGTCAGTGATTGCAATTAAAAAGCTTTCACCACTAGTTTCATGTCTACCTTCAAGCGTTGTCTCAGACCCCAACTCGCTTTGCCCGCTGTGCTGGTTCAGTTTCCACTTCATAGAAGAAATGAGCGAGTAAAAGCCCGGTCTGGTCCGAGATGCAGAAAACTCTTCGATGGTATGCTGGCTTGCTGTTGTTGTCTCTACGCCATTGCTGGACTTTGTGCTCTCCTCTCTGCTTTCATCTACACCGAGTTTGCTGTGGACATGACTGTTGCCAGCGGCGCTTTCAGCTATCTCCGAGTAACATTTGGTCTGTTTTATCAATTCCGCATTAATAAAACCCATAAATAATTAACATAACCGGAGCGAATCTCATAATGTACTATGTGATGTCAAATGCGGCAGTTGCTAGAGGCTTCACCGCCTATTGATAGGCACTGCATTTGGCTTGTCCACATCAAAATGGAGGCTAGTGGTCCATGCCCTTGCCAATGACTTTAATGAAATTGATATGGTTGATGTGCTTGTCGTCTTAGCCATTACTCCCGTTATTTGCTACTGGTATTACCGACTTTATTTCATTTCTTGTACCCATATCTCTTCCTTATCTTGTTAAATATTAAATTAAATATAATATTTTCTCTTTATAGCATCAGAGAGTGTTTGGTGAAGAATATGGTGTGAACAACTCTGTATATTCTGTTCATTGCATTTGTAATTCTTGTGGGATTTTGGAAAGGGATTGGAAAAACTTCACAGAACTGGCAAACCCAGAAAACCCATCTGGGTACTTCCCTTTTGGAGCTTCGAGTGTGTTTAATGGAGCAGCTATCTTCCCAACTCCTGGAACCAACGAAATAAAATGGGTCAAGTTTGAGCAACGCTTACCTAAGAAGCGACGCATTGATTCCTGTCTTCCCAACTCCAAATGTGCAACCAGTTCCAGAAAGCACTTCAAAATAGCGAAATCACAAAGATTAATCCATCAACTATACATTCTAGTTTCTAGAAAGTGAGAGCGATTCTCACTGTTCTTTTCATTTGGAGAAGGAGATTGACTTCTCATTTTCCCTCCTTGGCATTCTAGAAGATGTCCACGTCAGTAATAGGGTTCATTTCGTCCTTTTGCCTCACCTTAACAGCAAAAAGACCCAAAATAGGACGGAAGGATGTTTTAATTAGACGGAGGTTAACCTCAGGGACGAGTAAAATATTATATTAAGTGTCGGAGACTACTTAGATAATTATGGCAAACCTGAGGGACTTAATAATTATACTGCTTCATATATTGTATGGTAGAGTGGTTTTCATAATCACATGACCAAGTTGTGGGAATTTTTTGGCCTAATAACAATAAAGAATTGCTTGAAATTTCACACTTTTTTCAATTCTATCATGATCTTTCAATCTTTGCAATTCTATCTTGAAGTTATTAATTTTTCAGTTGTACATATTCTGTTCTTTAGCTTCTTTAGTCTGAATATGCTAATATTTCAAAAGACCAGTAATACATGCCATGTGGAAAAAAAATAATGATATTTCAGTTCATAAATTAAATGTTTTGGACATTCAACTTAAAACATGAAAATCATAATCCCTAATTTCTGTAGCTGGGAGAAGACATTTTAACTTGTTATATCTCGCTTGCTATTTCAATAAATTCAGGCTTGATTTTTACATGAGAGTTTCAGTTATATAATTGAAAAATAAAAAGATCTGCGATAATAATTACAAAATTGAAATTTCAAAGTGGAATTTTGATATATTGGCATTTTTTTGGTGTTGCCCTATTTTTTAATATTTGATAGCTCTGCTTTGTTGATCATATCAACTATTTTTCAGAATGTTCTGATGTAATTGTCTACCTCTTTGTAGATAATATTTAATGAATTGCTGGAAAGAGCCAAGGAGAAGGAGGATAAAGAAGCTAAGAAACGTAAACGTGTTGCCGAAGACTTTCTCAATCTATTATACTCTATCAAGGTGTGGATTTGCTGTTTTGACTCACTTATTTTGTATTGGCTCAGTTAACTTATTTTATTTATTTATTTATTTTTTATATCATCTAACTTATAGCTTTTTCCATTTTGGTAGGATATAACTGCATCTTCAAAGTGGGAGACTTGTAAAGAGCTTTTTGAAGGTAGCCGAGAATTCAGGTATTCTTCAACTTTCCATTTGGAGGGTTTTATTCTTGCAAACAATGTTTCTTCCTGAGTTAGCTGAAACTGATACTGTCAGGAACTTTGAGCCGATGTTCCGGACACCTGCAACTATGCTTCCCCCCCCCCTCTTTTTGATAAAAATATAATAAAGGTAGAACGAAAGAAGATTGCATCTAGTAAAATCAATTATCTTCAACAAAAAATGCACAAAGACAATAGAAAACGAGCAATAAAAAAGTAATGCATCCAATCGTGCTCGATAATATGCTGAAAGACCCTTCTTCAAAAAGTCCCTGAAGTGGAAGCCAACAAAGAAGCAAGCATACCATCTTGTCCCTAAACAGTAAGAAGACAATCTAGTTTTTAAGGAAGAAATGCAGCCATTCCTCTTCTCTTAGGTATCAACATTAGAAGAAGGCACACTCCAAAGGAATATGGCTTTGTTTCTGTCAGTAAGTACTCCATTGAAAAATCAGTAATGCGAAGTCCTCAGAGTATTTCAAGATATACCCAATTTTATTCAAAAAATTAAAGAAGACAATTCCAAATGGCCCAAGCTACTTCACCTTATAGAAATAAGTGAGCATGAGAATAAATAACAGAACTTGGGGGTACATGGTTATTAATGCTCCTGTAAAACAAGTCTGTGGTATTCACCTATTGAAATCCAAAGTCCAAACAAATACACTGACCTTAGAAGCACCTAAGCTTTGTAAATTTTGCTAGAAGGATATGAATTTTCTTTTATTCTAGGTTTCACTTTAACTGATGAAATTATGTACTTAATTGCTTTTTTAGTCATGATGAATCAATGTCCATTTGTTGAATGCATGATTTTATTTGTCTTGTTAGTTTATTTAATTATGGGGGATATCTTGTAAATTAAGGTTATGAAACTTCTTTAACATCTGTATTATTGGATGTTAACTTGTAGTTCTATTGGTGACGAGAGTATCTGCAAGGAGATATTTGAGAAATGTGTAGCTCAATTGAAGGAACATGCAAAGGAGAATGAGAGGAAACGGAAGGAAGAAAAGGTATTAAATCAGTTCACATGTTTACCTACATATGTCTTGTTATTGCAATAATTGTAGAAGGGAAGAATCCATGCTAAGTACTTTTTTTGAACAAATTATGTTTTGCATACACAAAACTGTCTTCTGCTGTTTGCCTTAAACCCTTGATCCCACAGAATCATTTTAGTATCTAGTATCCCTTGTTTACTTGTTTTTATTTTCTGAATTTCTTGTTGAAACTGTTAGCTTTAGTGATGCTATGGCCTATCTATTTATGACAAATAGAAAAATGCAGTAGATTATGCAAAAAATTAATATGAGAATTGTAAATGGTTTACTTCCATGTTCTACTAATTTACATTATAAATATGAAACAGTAATTCTCGTTGTTAATCAAATACTTCGAGTAGGATTTGGTGAAAAAAGTAATGTCATTCTTATCACAGATGGACTTAATCTAGGAACTTAAGTTGGCTAAAAGAATTAAAAATTTCAGGAATTTAAATCAAGAATTAAAAATTGAGGAATTAAAAATATAAACTCAATTGGGCCATCTAATAACATTATATTTAATAATATTCAGAAACCTTTGCAATTCTTAAAGCCTTACTTGCTTTCCCCTTTTTGGTCTTAAACAAAAAGTTCTCTGAACATCCCTAATTTTATAAATTTAACCTCACCAGATCCTGTTTAAATCATTAAATTTAATCTCGTAAATTTCTCAACACTTATTGTAACAATAAAATCATTTAGAATTAATTCCAACTGTATTTAGTCAGAAAGTCTGACGAGGCTATCTTACTGGGCTTATTTAACATTTAAAACCAATGGGGAATCCTAGCCCACCTAGCGGGTTGGGAATGGTTTAGGTCCACCCTGCCTTGATTCCCTAATCTGATCATTCCCCAATGTTAATTGTATACGTTTATTGTATTTTCTGTTCTAGAAATATGGAAAAGATTTTTCTATCAATAAAAATATACTTTTGCATGGTATTAGTATTTTTTTTTTTTTGATGTTAAGAAATAACAGTAGAAGTATCTTATTATGTGTATACTTGTTTCATGTATATGTATAATAGTATCTTATTATTTTATTATGTGTATATGTGTTTTGTTATGTTTATGTTTTCATTATTATCTTATTACATAATATCTTATTAGTATTTTTTTTTTTTTTTAGAACTTGTTAATGATATAAAATGAAAAAAAAAAAAAAAAATTGAAGCATCGATACCTGCCCTCTCCCTGCTCCTCCTTGAGTCTCTTTTGTCTTGTACTAAGATGGTGGCTCAAAACCTGGCTGTCCTGTCCATTGCCTTTTTATTATATTTTTCATATGTTTAGTGAGCCTGCAAAGGTTTTTTTGTCTGTCACTCCCCTCTCTTTCCGCTCTGTCTCCTCTAGTTCCCTTTCTTAAGCTCTATGGGTAAGAGAGATGGAGTATGATGGTGACATTGACAATGAGAAATATTAGCATTGGGAGAGTAGCGGCTGATCTACGGTTTCTAGAGGATAGAATTTTATCCTAATCAACCGACTTTATTGAGAAAGATATTTCGGCTTGGGACGCATTTTATTTGGCAGTTGTCTGGATGTTAAATACCATTGGATGGGACCGCCGTACAAAGAAAATATTTTGTGCAAATGAACAAGATATTGAGGAATTGTCCATATGTAAAATCATAATTCTTGATACAGGCCTATATTAATGATGATAACAATCGCTATTGAACTCGATAGCTTACCATTTTGAATCACAATTTGTTGAATTTGATTTTCCTTCCATGTTGACTTGTTCCTATTTAACTTGTGATTGTGGAAAAGTAAAATTATAAAGATGTGTGTACTTTTTTCTGTTTTCTAAGCAAACAGTCTTTTTTAGAAAATGAGAAATAGAAAACAGAAAATAGAAAATGCATTTTTTTGTTAATAATAAAAAAAATCATATTTTAATTTAAACATTGAAAAAACATTATATATAACTTTCATAATTAAAAGAAATAAAATATTATGAAACAAATTTAGAAAATTTTTTGTTTTAAAATTTTAAAATATTTATTTTTGGTTTTTAATTTTTATCATTTTGTAAAATTTGTAAAAATGATATAACTATGGATATGTTTTTATATAATATAATAAAATTAATTACATATTAATTACATAATATAAAATTAAGAAAAATAAAAACAATTAATTGAGTTATTTAAATATTTTTTATTATTTTTCAATAAAAAGTTTTTTTTAAAGAAAAATTATAGATATTATAATTTTAATCATGAAAAAAATTATTTTTTTAAAATTGAAAAACAATGACTTTTGTTATAAAGGAAAACTGTGGAAAACAACTTAAAGCTGTTTTACAATCTTAGTTAAATTTTGAAAAACTGAAAACCTGTTTTCTAGTTCCCCAAATGGAAAGTTGATAGATTTGAACAGAAAACTCTTTTTTCCAGTTTTCTTGGAAAACTTTCTAGAAAACTATTCCAATTTTCTACTAGTGAACATCCCTTAAGAGTTTGCTTGCGGTCTAACGACAATGAATATATAAAGAAAGTTTTCTTTTATTGCTCACTTTAATTAATCACGAAATATAGATGATTGTTAAATTCGTTGCCAAAACGATTTGGTTGTGTAAACAATCAACAAGGAGAAATGAATGCAATGGTTGATCACACTGTGTTCCATTAGATTCCTGATCTAATTCTATTCTTAGTTATACTTTCCCTTTCTGTGACGACTTGCATTCCTGGTTTTATTTCTTGGCTCGCACATTGGAATAAGAATCAGCTGATAAATGGTTCTTTATGTTTATTCTCACATTCTCATTTCCTTCATGGTGGTTTACTGCATCTAAATAATGAGATGAAGGTCTGATTCCCATTCCTGCTCTATTACTCCTAATAAACAATGGGAATCTAAATGTGTCAGGCATATATTTCTATTGAGAAATCTCTTGATCACATATTGCTGGGATTGGCACTAAACAAATTTGCAGATCTATTTGGTAGTAATACATCGACTTTCAAAATGAAAATTCAAGCACATAATTTTTTATTTCTGTGTTGAGTTTATTGATGTGTACAACAGGAAATTGGATGGTAAAGCTGTACATTTTTTTTGCTTTGTATCTTCAGCAGGCAAAAAAGGAAAAAGAGAGAGATGAAAGAGACAGGAGAAAGACAAAACATAGAAGAGACAAAGAGAGAGGACATGAAAGGGAAAAGGAGCACATAAAGATGGAAGAAGCAGAAACTGAAAATGTTGATATAACAGAAGATCATTTTTATGATGATAACAAAAGATTAGGAAATGATAATAACAAGAAGCAAAGAAAAAAGCATCACGATTCTATGGATGATGCAAATGAGATTGAGAAAGATCGATCTAAGAGTTCCCATAGACATAGCAGTGACCATAAGAAATCAAGACGGGTATGCTGTTCTTTTTTTGCTTGTCATGTGTGGAATGTTTGCCCTTTTCATTGTGATTATGGCTTTTAAAGCACTAACTATGTAATGTGTGTTTCTCTTTAATTTTATTTCTTGATAATTGGTCCAGCGTGCCTCCACTCCTGATTCAGATGGTGAAAGCAGGCATAAAAGACATAAGAGAGATCATCGTAATGGTTCTCGTAGAAATGGGGATAATGGTGACCTTGAAGATGGGGAATTTGGTGAGGATGGAGAAGGTCGGTAGTTATCTCTCATCCTACAGGTTGCTCTTTTTTATCCCCTTCTATGCTTTATCATGGAAAGATGTTTTTCTGTAGCATACTTGATATATTTTCAGCTTACTATAGTCTGTAACTGCAACCAATCACCATGTAACAGTAACAGGATTTTTGGATAACTTTTTAGATAAGTCCTGTTGCATGTAAATTTTTTTATAACTGCTGAAGATCTAAATTATCTATGAAATTACATAGAATACGAGTCATTGCTGTTGCTCTTTTTTAAAAAAAATTCTATGCATGTAGCTCACTGACAGTTGCATTGTTTGCCTCCACTAGATGGAGGAAATAGGAAAATGAATAAAATATTAAATTTGATGTATTTGTTTTTTTTTTCTTTTTTAGATCTTTCTTCAAATGCACATATTTTACAAGTACGGTTGCCAAAAAATCCATATTTGGCACTTCTTTTAATCTTTTTCTTTATCTTCTTTTTAAGTCTATGCGTTTTCCTCAACTCTGGAGTTATATAAATAGTTCTCTGGCTTCTGGAAATATCATGGATTTTGAACATTTGAAATGTGATTGCAAAATGTTAAAAGGGCATGTGTTTGGGGTGTGGAATTTTCACCTGTTAACTTATGAACCTGCCTATTTGTAGACTACCTTTTTGGTCTATGAACTGTGCTGATAGATTCACTGCCAAATGAGATTTTGTCTGGTGGAAATAATAATGCCAATGGCTGCTGCGGATAACTATCAACTGGCTTATTTTCTCCTTGTGAGTCTGATTTTTGCTGTGTTGTAGTTTGATCTTCTGTTCTTTCAGATCTTCTAGCCCTTTGCCCATATAAAGAAAGTCTGGGGCAAACAAAATATCCACCCATAATGGTAACTTCACAGCTAACAAATTGGTAATTTCAAGATGAGGAGCGGTTATATTCATGTCTTTAACAATTAAATCTCATTAACTATCGGACTTGTTTTTATTAATGCATTGAGAAGAGTTGATCCATATGCATTTCCATGGAAATATTTTTACTTCTGAAAATTTTTGGTTGTAATTTGGAATGCAACAGTCTTGAGCTAGAAAAGGAGGGTAGTTCTCCCCTGCTCAAAAACTCATTCCCGCTTTAGTGGGATTTGAATATGGGACCTTCTGACAGAGATGCCAAGCTTTTATTGCTGGAATGCATACTTATAGGATAATTTTATGTATGGCCTGTGGTTATTTTCCAGAGGTATGGGGATTCAGAAACTGAATACACAAATTAGCGGCATCAGACAAGTTCATTTGTAAATAAAGCTTAGGAGGGATATAACATAAAAAATTGAGGCCTCGAAATGCATCAATTGATCTAAATTGATGAGACAAAATCAAGTTTCCAGTTCAATTTCATCGAATGATTATAAAGTATGCATGGTTTAAATCATTAGAACTTTCTTGATCTGCCTGGACAATGATATTGCTGCTTTTCCCCTCTCTATTAACACAAGAGTTGAAGTTTCACTTAGCTTGTGCATGCATTTTAAAAATACCGTCTTTACCACTTACCTCTTTGTTGGTTGTGTTTTTGTAGATATTTGGATTGATATTGCTTCAATTTGCTCAATGCTTACTAAATTTTGTTTTAGGTTTACACAATGAAAAGAATATGTTAGTCTTCCTTTGCCAACACTTTAATGATATCAGTAATGTAAACTCTGAGACTCTTTAGCTTGGATTATTTTGCTGAACTAATTTGCTTTTAGCTGATGTCAGCTGCTGTTTGTCTATTGAACACTTGGTAGTTGAACTAATCCTTTTTGGTATATTCACTTGAATAAGAGCCGCAGTAGTTTCTTTATCAAAAGATGGACAATGTTCTTTACTGGAAAAATAAAGTTACTAGTTGAATTATTTTGTGTATGATAGCATCTCATATCTCTATACATTTCTTTTTTCTTGCTGCATATCATCTCATTCTTCTACTGTGCTAGAAAGATGAAATTTGTGTAGCCTTTACTTCGGTTTCCCTCGCGAGAGAATTTACGTACTGGGAGTCTTTAAAAGAAAATTCTTTAGATTATGAAAAATGCTTAAATTCCGACCCTCTAGGTTGAGGAGCAGCTAAGGTATTTCTCCATTTGATGTTGGTGGTTGCATGTGAGATTTCTGGATGCGGAAATCTCCTTGATCTATAGTAAAGGAGAATTACACGTGGAAAGAGGCGGAAATCTTGATTTCTTCACTGTGTACTTAATATAGGTCTGTGCCTGTAGCAACCTGTTAGCTTGTTAGTGACTGAACTAAAAACATAGAGCAATAGCAGGAATGCTTTGTGACCAATCCATACAAGAAAGAAATGAAGGTTCAAAGTCTTTTGGCATTCGGCTAAACCCCCCAATGGACGAGTGTCTGATTTCTGGTATTGGAGATCCCTGATAACCCTCTTAAAAAGTTCAAAATCTTTTTCCTGGTAACCATTATTTGGTATTTGACTGCAATTTACCTGATGCTTTCTGAAGCTGCTACATTTGTGGGGTTGTTATGCTCTTGCAAGAAATGATGGATGATTTGCTGTTGTCAGCTCGTGCCATAAGGTGTTGGGTTAAGCCCCGCAACGAGAGCAACCCTCGTGTCATGATGATGTGAATCTTTAATAGCACATTTGGAAGTCTTCATCATGAACAAGTTTGAGGAGACAAAGGCTGGTGTGCTGGAGTTGACATTAACAAAGGGTATATATGCCAAATTGAAGGTTAGATATGAGAAAGTAATGTGGTATTTCAAAGACATAAATATAGCTAGGAAGGGAGAGGTTTTGAGCATCTACTTAATTTTTTATTGTCTAACAATTTGGTATCATCAATCAATGATAGGGTTTACCTAGTCTTTTAATTTTTGGTTACATTAAATTCTGGTTGTCGACACAAATTATAATGCTTGAGATAGATTTTGAGAGGTTACAGAGGGAATAATTGTTGTTTTTATTTACAAATTACTCATTTTCGATAATTTGGTCTCAATATTGAGAAGTTATACATATAATTAAACTATAATAGTTGCCCATGACTAATGGTGATGGTTAGTGCTTTATATTTTTTTATCAGCGAAATTAATTTATTTTATTATAATAAAGCATACATAAAGAAAATCAATAGAACAAAAGAAGAGGAACATTCATAAAGTCTCTTTTTGAGATAAGAAAAGAGAAAAAAAAAAAAATCAATACATAACTATGTTATTACATAAAAAAAAAAAAAAAAAAAAAATTCTGGTTGTCGACAACAAATTATAATGATGAGATAGATTTTCGAATGAGGTTTACAGAGGAGACATAATGTGTTTTCTATTACAAATTTATCTAATTATCGATAATTTGGTCTCAATATTTTCTGGGTACGGAGAAGTTATACATATAATTAAACTATACATCAGTTGCCCATGGACTAATGGGTGAATGATAGTTTGGCTCTATAAGATACTGCCTTTTAATAGTCGAATTAATGTTTATTAATTCTATAATAATAAGCATACATAAAGAAAATCAATTAGAACAAAAGCGCAGACCGGAGGAGAATCATTCGGATTAAAGTCCGTCTTTTTTTCGAAGTAGATAAAGAAAGAGAAAAAAAAAAATCAATACATAACTATGTTATTTACTACTATAAAAAATAAAGAGAAAAAACTTTAAAGCACATGCTGCTAAAAAAGTTACCGGTACAGCATCCATTTGCTTTATTGGTCTAAGTAGAATTATAATAAAAAAAAAAAAAAAAAAAAACTTTAAAGCCATGCTGCTAAAAAAGTTAGACAGCATCCATTGCTTTCTTGGTTAGTGATTTATCAACATATGATGAGTGGCAAATGTAAAATTCAAAGTTAAGAGGGCAAAATAAAAAAAAAAAAATTCATAAATTAGAGATTCAGAATAACATAAAAATTCACTATTTTAATAGATAATATTTAAAATTTTCACTATTTTAGTAGATAAAATTTAGAAAATATTTTTTTACTAGAGGAGTCAGGCTACCCTGGCCCCTCCAAGCATTTGCCATAACTAATGATCACAACAATAATTTATGGATCAGTAAATTTATATTTTTTGTTTTTCTTCTGAATAATAAGATTGCCAATTGTCAATATTTGGAAAACATTTTTCTCTTAAAAAGAAAATTTTATTTTATTTTAAAATAACTCAATTTTTCTTTAATTAGAAAAATATTTTTTCAATGATTAATTTTCCTTTAAATTAAGTGCGATGATAAGTATATTCTTTATATAAAAAATATTTTCCTTTAAATTTTAGTGATTAAAAAAAAATTATGCAGGAGAACTGAATAATACACCAATATAATTTTTTTAGGCACCTTTCAAAAAAAAAAAAATTTTTTTTTAGGCAAAACGTATTTTTAAATTCTCAAATTTATCAAGTTTTATCTATTAAACACTTGAATTTTTATTGGTTAATATTGAACCTTTCAATTTTTATTTTTGTTAAAATTAAACTCTTATTTAATTAAGATCATAAAATGTCCAGCTATTACTCAAAAAAATGGAATTTCTTTTTTCTGTAGGGAAAAGGAAGGCGATGCTATTAGAAGTTCAATTGACTCAGTTTGCTGCTTCAAACTTAAATTTTGGATAAGCCCGACCCGGTTGGAACCTTGGACCTGAAAAAAAAAAAAAAAAAAAAAAAAAAAAAAGTGCTTCCAAACATAAATTTTGGATAAAGCATCCGACGCCGGTATGGAACCTGGAGCCTGAAAAAAAAAACAGAAAAATAAATTATAAAGAACGAGGTTCGTTCCGAGAAACAAAAAAAAAAAAAAAAAAAAAAAAAAAAAGAACGGTATCATTTCGCCGATACAATGCCGTTTTGATAGTCGGCAGTCGCTTGGGGAAAATTACTCCATTTTGCGCTTTGACAGTTACCATGTCGTTCTCTTCTCCTCAGTTTAGTTGAACAAAAAATTAATGGCGATTTTTTCATTCCATTCAGTTCTCTAACTTTTTCATTACCATCAATCCAAATGAATTCCGCACTCTGTGTATCAGTGTAATTCAATCATATGCTTCGGTAGTGATATGCAAGTCTTGCTCCGTTCTTTCTAGTATATTGATTTGTAATTTTTTGACCTGATAATCCGTAACCTTGAAATGGCTTTGATAGATGTAGCTAAAGCTTGCCTTGATTCAATTAACCAAGTAAGTCTTTTTTTTTTTTTTTTTTTTTCCAGTAAGTCTTTTTTTTTTTTTTTTTTTTTTTTTTTTTTTTTTTTAATTTATAAATTTATTGTTATTTTTAATTATAAATATGAAGGTTCCATTGCTAATTCATTTTGTTAGAATGTGTTAGTTCTAATTTGGGAAATTTTCTTAGAATGTGTTAGTTCAATCGCCCAAAATGGATTTTTTGGTAGAAATTTTTGAGCAAAAATTTGAAGAATCAATATTGTGGCATTATCTTGTGCTTTAGTCATTGATGAACTTACTGAACATATACTGGAGGATGTTCTTTGGTGTATGTGTTTTATTGATGATATAGTGCTGAAACCCAATTAGATTTAGTGGAAGTTGGAGCAGTGGAGTATTGTCTTTCTAGTGAAGTAGAACCAAAATTGAATATATGCATTTGTAATTTTTGCAATGTCAGCGAATTGGAGTTATTTTAGATGTAAAGTGCTGCAAAGTGACCACTTGTGATACATTGGTTCTATCATACAAAGGCATGGGGGAGAATAAGGAGACTTGTAGTATTTATGATAGGAGAGAAGTTCGACAGATGTCCTATGTGATCATAAATCAATTCCATTTGTGTAGGACATAAAGCTATGGATGTTTGCAAATGAAAAATTGGCATATTGGTAGAATGAGCATGTTCGAAAATAGAAATGGGGAAAATGCATGTTTGGAAATTTGTGAAAAGGATCGAATTAGGAATTTGAATTTGTAGGAAAGTGAAAGTGGAGTCATTGGGAAGAAGTTGAGGGAGGGTTTTGGATGTGTACGTTAAAAAAAAAAAAAAAAAAAAAAAAAAAAAAAAAAAATTAGTGGCTATCCATGTTAAAGTGGATTGGCGAGAAAACTCAAGAAAAATGAGGATGATGGTGAAGTGAAGTGGTTAGGAAGAACACCAATCTAGATCCCAGAAAATAGAAGCCTAAAAAAGAGATGTTATGTATCTGAATGAAATATCGCTAAATCTATATGGGTTGAATAGTAGGGCATTGTGAATTGAGACTGGTTTGAAGTTAAATACGTGAGTAATAGGTAGCTGCTTTTAGATGGCTGATCATCTAGAATCCTAGCATCAACCAATACTTAAAAAAAAAAAAAAAAAAAAAAAAAAAAATAGTGCATCCATGTTAAAGTGGATTGGAGAAAATCAAGAAAAATGAGGATGATGTGAAGTGAAGTGGTTAGGAAGAACTATGAATCTTAGATCCTTTTGAAATAGACCTAAACCGAGTAGACTGATGGAAATATGATCTATATGGTTGAGCTCTACTAGATTGTGATTGAGACTGGTTTGAGTTATAGTGAGTATGAGTAGCTCTTTTTAGATGCTGAACTTCTGATCCTAGCATCACCAATACTTAACTGTTGAAATCTGCTTATTGGAGTTTCTCACATTACCCCTGCTTATTTCTAAACTACATCTAGGTGCTTTTACTTGCATTCTTTTCCCGTTGTATTTCATTAGAGTATGAGATAAGATTTTGTCCTGCTCCCATTAACTTGATTGTAAAGCTTCCTTGAGATGTTGGGAGGCTTTTAGCGAATTAGTTTCTAACAAAGGAGTTGCAAATGTGCTGTGTTTTCTTTTGAGTTTGGGTTGTTCTTGCTGGTATCATCTCAGTAAATGTGAGTTTATATCTTTTCTTTTCCCCCTTGAAATCATCACTTTGCTGCTTGTTTTTTGTTTTAACTCTTGGTTGCGGTATTCCAGTGCCTTATTTTTTAAGAGCTCACTCTAGTTAAGTTTCGTGGCTTTTTTCTACTTTTGTTTGAAAGGCTTTGCACATATGCTGACATTTCTGTATTTGATTACTTACTATGTTTTGGGTAATCTTCCTTCCTTGGTTTTATGTCTTTGTAACTTCAAATTGCCATCTTTATTTATTTATTTATTTATTTTGCCTTCTCTTTTATCTTAAATTTTTGTATGTTGACTTTCTCTAACTTTCCTTTCCGTTTGCCTTTTAGATCTCGGAGCATATAAAAGGTGCCACTCTTTATCTGGATTCTGGATGCACAGAGAGTTTCCAATTTGCTGGAGTTTTTCCTTTGTTATTGGACCTTGGAGTGCAAGCTGTTTGTAGCCTAGAAAACGTGTGTGCTCTTGATGGGGTGAGTATTTGCAAAAATTCATGTTGATGTCTCTTTCACTTGTTATGTACAAAGTTTGATCTGATCTTGTACTAGACTTAGAAAGCGAAAGACATAGGTGGACAATATATTGTTTGTTATTTATACATAATAGTCTTTTGCATTTTTAATGTGATAATGGGATAAAGCCTTACAGATAATGAATATGACAGAAACTAGTGTAGGAACCAAATAAGATTACATAATGATTGCCGTTTTTATTTGTTTCATAAAATAGTCCTGATGATCAGATGATCTTGCATAAATTGGAAATTTTTACTGTTGGAGCATTTGCTCATGCTATGCCTAGAACATGAACAATATGGAAGGAAAAGCACAAGGGTAGGTAATGCGGCATCTGTATGCCGTTTGTGATACCAGATTGCCAGTTTTTTCTTGTTCGTGATCTATAAATTCGCAATAATTTCATTTCAATTATCTTAATCTAGAGCCTCAGGAGTTTGTAATCATCTATATTGTTTCTTTGTCTAGGTGGTTAGTTGGAATCCAGATTCTGACGCTGCAACGAAAATTGTTGTTATCACATCTCGTCTACTTAGTGATGCACATCGATATATCTTACGTTGCCTAAGCACACATCAAGGTGTTCAGAGTTTTACAGTGTACACATCAATCTCAGAGGTATTGCTTTGATGTTATAGTATTTTATTGCTTGAATTTATTTGCTTCACGTTTCTTTATTTTTTATTCCTGGTCTGAATCCATCTGTCTTAACTTTATTCTACTAAAAGATATGTTTAACCTCAATAACTTTGTTTTTTTTAGTGCTATTGTTTGGTTCAATTGTTCACATTTTGTCTGTCTTGCCATTGCTTGTGTCTTTGAGTTAAAAACCGTGGCACCCATGTTCACCAATTTTGTGTAAAAGAAGAAACAGCTATGTGATGTAGCAACCAAAAAAGGGAGACCTACTTTGCCGAAGTATAACAGACTTGATTAAATTCATCTACATGAATTCCAGAGTTTAATCATGGTGGTTTGCAGAGGCACACAGTTTATTTTATGAGTAGGGTATATCCTGTACAATTTCTTAATCCAATCAGGATCTTCCAGACTACAAATATTCAATATCTGGTCAAACCACAGTATCCATATGAAATTAGAATACAAAATAAAAATCATTGTAATTACAAAATTTTCAGAGATCTTTGGCTAGAGGTCCTTGCTTTTCTTTTTGCTGGTTAAAAAGACTTTGGCTTTGGACACTTTGTAGATGTTTGCTTTACCATCTAGCTGCAAAGGTATTAAGTCCTATATTTTGCTTAAACATAGACAGTTTTTTCCCATTTCCTGTATCTTTATTTTTTATTTTTTTGACTTGCATTAAATTTCCTCGGTTATCACTGCACATTTTCTTTACCATCTAGCTGCAAAGGTATTAAGTCCTATATTTTGCTTAAACATAGACAGTTTTTTCCCATTTCCTGTATCTTTATTTTTTATTTTTTTGACTTGCATTAAATTTCCTCGGTTATCACTGCACATTTTCTTTACCATCTAGCTGCAAAGGTATTAAGTCCTATATTTTGCTTAAACATAGACAGTTTTTTCCCATTTCCTGTATCTTTATTTTTTATTTTTTTGACTTGCATTAAATTTCCTCGGTTATCACTGCACATTTTCTTTACCATCTAGCTGCAAAGGTATTAAGTCCTATATTTTGCTTAAACATAGACAGTTTTTTCCCATTTCCTGTATCTTTATTTTTTATTTTTTTGACTTGCATTAAATTTCCTCGGTTATCACTGCACATTTTCTTTACCATCTAGCTGCAAAGGTATTAAGTCCTATATTTTGCTTAAACATAGACAGTTTTTTCCCATTTCCTGTATCTTTATTTTTTATTTTTTTGACTTGCATTAAATTTCCTCGGTTATCACTGCACATTTTCTTTACCATCTAGCTGCAAAGGTATTAAGTCCTATATTTTGCTTAAACATAGACAGTTTTTTCCCATTTCCTGTATCTTTATTTTTTATTTTTTTGACTTGCATTAAATTTCCTCGGTTATCACTGCACATTTTCTTTACCATCTAGCTGCAAAGGTATTAAGTCCTATATTTTGCTTAAACATAGACAGTTTTTTCCCATTTCCTGTATCTTTATTTTTTATTTTTTTGACTTGCATTAAATTTCCTCGGTTATCACTGCACATTTTCTTTACCATCTAGCTGCAAAGGTATTAAGTTCTATATTTTGCTTAAACCCAGACAGTTTTTTCCCATTTTCTGCATCTTTATTTTTTATTTTTTGACTTGCATTAATTTTCCTTGGTTATTTAAGCTAGAACCATTATCCTCAAGTATATTACACTTGTTCTTACTATCACCATAGCATGAAAAAGAGAAAAAGAGTTGATGCCTGAGGAGGGTGAGATAACAAAAGTTACCTAACTCTTAAAACCCAAAGTACATATGGATCCTTTCTCCACAAAAGAGCCTAATTCTTGGAGAACTTATGTAAATTGCATAAGTAGGGGAAAAATGAATAGATAACAGAAAATAAGTATTCCCGTTGTTGGAAGAATCTGTTTCCCCTTGAACATGTTTTTGACCGTCGGCTGAATACTATTCTATGCTAGGAGCATGTTTAAAATGGTTCAGAAAAGTAGCCAGCTTGTGGAAATTCTCATGTTTTCCTTTGTTTTTATTGACAAAGCTTTTCTTTTCTAAAATTTGTAGATGGACCTGAAAATGGAAATATATTCCCTGGGTGATCTGTCAAAAACTGTTGGCAAGATTATGACAGACATGTCTAGCCTTTATGATGTAGGCCGCCGTAAGCGTTCTGCTGGTCTTTTACTTATTGACCGCACACTTGATCTCCTTACTCCATGCTGTCATGGGGATTCACTAGTTGATCGCATTTTTTCATCTTTGCCTCGAAGAGAAAGAACAACATCTTATTCCCACATGAAAGACTCGCAAAATCAACTCAAACTTGGCCCTTCTAACCTACAACATGCGCCGCTTGATGTTCAGATACCTCTTGCTAAAATATTAAGAGGAGCTAATGGAATAAATGGCTCTTCACTTTTACAGAGTATTGAGGCTTTCCTAAGTGGGTGGGATGCTAATAACTCTGCTCCTCAAATTGTAGACCTGGTTAACCTCTGTAATAAAGTTCATGATGAGAAGTCTACTCTCTCTGAGATTCAACTATTTAGTGGGTCATTGGTTTCTACAGAAACTTTCCGTGGAACACCATTTATGGAAGCTATATTGGACAGAAGAACAAAAGATGGAACAGTACTGGTAAGGAAGTGGCTTCAAGAAACTTTGCGCCGGGAAAATATTACTGTTAATGTGAAAACTCGTCCTGGTTTAGCTACAGAATCAGAGTTGAAATCTATGATTGAAGCATTAGCTAAAAGCCAGTCATCATTAATCAGAAACAAAGGAATTCTTCTGTTAGCAGTAGCTGTACTAGTTTCCCTAGATGAATCACATTCTACCAGATGGGATGCATTTATTAGTGCTGAGAAAATATTGAGAGCAAGTGCTGGAGACACAAGCCAGAGTCTTGCTGCTCAAATTGGTGATCTTATCAATAAGAGTATTTTGATGGCATCTAGGGGACAAAATTGCAAAACTGAACCTTTACAAGCATTACTTTCTTTTGAAGATGCTTTGTTCCTTATGATTGTTGGCTATATATTGGCTGGTGAGATTTTCCCTACTTCTGGCTCAGGTGGTCCATTTTCATGGGAAGAGGAGCATTTTCTAAAGGAAGCTGTTATGGATGCAATCCTTGAAAACGCATCAGTATCAAAACTCAAGTTTCTCCATGGTCTAACAGAAGAACTTGAGGCCAACTTCAATAGGAAAAAATTAGAAGTGATAGAAGAATCACCAGATAAGTTAGAAATTGATGATTTTGATGATGACCAGTGGGGAAAATGGGGCGATGAAGAGGAGGATGATGATGATAAGAATAAGAAGGAACAACAATATGATGACATGCAGGTGAGGTTGGAGTTGCGTGATAGGGTGGATAGCCTTTTCAAATTTTTTCACAAGTTATCTTCTCTAAAAAGGAGGAACATACCATTGAGAGAAGGGACGTTCTATTTGGAAAGCAACTTAAGTGATGATTTTGACTCGAATAAAGGGTTACTCTATAAGATTCTAAGAAGTGTGTTGAGCAAAAATAACATTCCTGGGTTGGAGTATCATTCCTCTACCATGGGACGGCTTTTCAAAAGTGGTTTTGGAAGATTTGGTCTCGGACAGGTGTTAATTAAATTCCATAAATTTAGGTAGACCATTTTTTCATGATGTCATATTCTGAACTTGATTTTTGTATTCTGCAGGCAAAACCAAGTCTCGCAGACCAGAATGTCATATTGGTTTTTGTGATTGGGGGCATCAATGGCACTGAGGTGTGAATTTCTTTGATTTCTCCACTTATTTTTGTTGTGCCAATTTTTTCTGCTATTTTTCCTTTTCCCCCACATTTAAAGCCTCAAGATTACTGTTTGAATCTTATGGTAATTCTTTTCAAAATGATTTCTAGTTGCATGTTTTGCATCAATGACCATTATTTCAATTATTCCGGCAGAAGCATAGCTTTTCTATTGACCAATTGCTTTTCGTCTGTTCTAAGGTACGTGAAGCTCGAGAAGCAATAGCAGAAAGTGGAAGGCCCGACGTAGAATTGATCATTGGCGGAACAACATTTCTAACTCCTGACAATATGTTTGATTTACTAATGGGGCACTGTAGTCACTTGTGAGTAAATATTTTTGAAACATCTGGAAGATAAAATATACACAAAAACTAAGGTCAAAATGAAAATAAAATTCGTTTTAACATATCATGTGATTCATGTAATGAGTTTGATGTAGCAAATTGTACATTTTGCTCTGATGTAGGGTAAGAAAAGTGAGAAGGTTCAGTTCCTTATGTTTTATGACCTCAACAGTTTTGCTTCAAAACTATGTCGGCAATAATTTTTTAAGTAGCTTTTAGCGTTTTGATTGGTCAAAACGCTAAATGCTACTTTTAATAGTATTCGTTAACAGTTTTTGAATGAGCTTTTAGATGTTAAGGTAGTGTTTTGTGAAAAATTAACTCATATAACGTTTAGCTTTTAGCGTTTCATGAAAAGCTGTTCAAACATCTAACAGTTAAACGCTACTAAAACAGCTAACAACTACCCAAAAATAATGTGGCATTTTGGCTTTTATTTCTCTCTTTCTTTTGCCTACTTATTAGAAACTTCCAAGGATTTGACATTGGTAAATTATCATAATGCTCCTGAAGTATTCTATAATTAACATACAGGTACCCATTGTTTTAGATTTGGCATTTTTAATTCTTGAATTTTGCTTACAAGTAAATATCGTTGTCATTTACAAAATTATGGGTTTTAATACACTTTAGGTTTTGATATTTTAGCTTGTGCAATGGTTTTGACTTATAAACTTTGACATTTTAGCTTATATAATATTTTGTTCTTAAAATTTTAAAATATAATTTACTTCTTTTTAACAACTAACTAACTAACTAACTAACTAACTAACTATATATATATATATATATGATTGAAGTGCTTAAGTTATTACACTATTTAATAATTAAATCCTTAGCCATCTTTGTACATTTCACAAGATATGTTCATAGGTGTTATGACTTTATAAATTTTACAAAGTCTGTCTAGCCAGCAAACAGATTTACTTTTCAGTATTTGTAATAATAAGTCTATGGCATGGGTGTAGTGTTTTACTCCAATGAATTTTATGGATCTATCATAAATATATGGTGAAAATATGGAAGGTTAAATAATAAAACTCATTCATAAATTTATATTGGTTTATATTAGTGCAGTTCACTCGGATTTATTTAATCTATTAATTAATAAAAAAAATTCTAGTTTTACAATTAATACTGCTGCAATACAATATAATTTTCAAGTATGACAATTAATTATGGAACTAAATCCATGAAAGCATACATGTGCAAAATGATAATTTGATCAAGAAATCAAAATTTTAGATACAAATAATAAAATTAATGTTCAATAAAAAGTCACTTTGAACCCTGGGGCAAATAAGTTTCAAGGAACTAAGTCTTCTATTAATGAACTGAACTTTCTATTGTACACTCAAAACTCTTAAAATGGATTGGGATAGTAACACTAAGTTAGAATTCCCAGTCTCCAATGGAGGTATGAATTTTAAAATATGAATATTCCTATGAAATTAAAAAAAAAAAAAAAAAAAAAAAAAAAAGATAATGGTTTTAACACTCAGATATGATAGGCAAAAAAAAAAAAAAAAAAAAAGATAATGGTTTCTACACTCAGATATGATAGGGCTTTGAAGGAAGTATGTGACACAATTAGGACGACAATTTGACAACTTTTCATTATTAACTTTGTTTATGAGTGTTGAATTATTTGTTTATATAACAAAAAAAAATTCTCTATACTCTCACCACCAAACACTATCATAATCACTTTGCTAGTGATTTTTTATTACTATAAATATATTTTAGGCCCAACATCTACATAAATTTACATTAATTTTGATAGAATTTACTGATTTAAAAGGTATTGTTAACGAGAAATTATCGCTTCCATATCCCTAGGTCAAACACATTATCACTTCAAATCTTGACCTTGTCGAATTCAATTTTGTTTCTTGTTTTTGTTATTAATTTTCTCCAATTTCTCATTTGAATTTTAACCACAAAAATTTCATTAAAAATGTGAATTTTTTTTAAGATTTCAACATATAATGTCAATCATCACACATGGTTAAAAATATAAATTATGTGATATATATTCATCTAAAAAACATACGAAATGTATCATAAAAATCATGTTTAGACACAAAAAATGAATGACAAGAGTAATATAGAAATTTAGATTAAGAGTAAGGTAATACATTAAATTTAAATTTTAGATTTTCTATTTTTAATTTACATCATGTGATGTCTCCGTCAACTTATAAGCGACTAATAAAGTTATAGATAGAAGAAAAATATACCGACGTGAAATTGATTATTGGTGTAACAACGTTTTCCAACTACTAATAATGGGGCTTTATAGTCACTTATGAGTAGATAATATTTTGGAACATCTGAAAGATGGAATACACAAAAAAAAAAAAAAAAAAAACTAAGGTTAAAATGAAATACATTTTGTTTAAGATATAATGTGATTAATGGAAAGAGCTTGCTACCAAATTGTACATTTTGCTTTGATGTGGGTAAGAAAAAAAATGAGAAGATTCAGTTCCTACTTCCTTGTGTTTTATGACCTCAATAGTTTTGTTTTGTTTCAATTTTATTTCTTTGCCAACTTATTAGAGCCTTCTAAGGATTTGGCATTTCAGTATTCCTTCGAAGGGTAAATAATCACAATGCTCCTGAAGTATTGTATAATTAATATATGGGTCCCAATTGTTTTAGACTTAGTATTTTTAGTCCTTGAATTTTGTTAATAAGTAAATATTTTTGTCGTTTACAGAATTATGAGTTTTACAAGACTTTAGGTTTTGATATTTTGGCTTGTATAATAGTTTGATATTTAATTATATTTGACATTTTGGCTTATATAATATTTTATTTAAAATTTTAAAATATAATTTATTTCTTATCTATATGTATATAGCGCTTTAGTGTTTATGGTTTTATAAATTTTACAAATTTTAAGGATAAGTTTCTTTTTTTTTTTTTTAGGGTTTATACCAGTGTAGTTCACTTGTATTTATTTAGTTTATTAACTAAAAAAAAAAAATTCTAGTTCTACAAAGATTTCCAGATTTTATTAATATTGGCTGTAATCCAATTATCTTCAGGCACCAAAAATTAATTTGGACAAGAAGTTATTTATACCATTATTCTTTTTTAACTATTTTCAAGGAAAATGTTTTTTATAGAAAATATTATTTTAACAAGTTATTTTTCTGTAAATTATTCTATAAAAATAAATGGAGAATAAGTTAAAAATTCATCATTTAATAGATAATACTAAATTAAAATCTCGTCGCATTAACATAGAAGGAATGTAGAGATGATTTTTAGGATGTGAACACTTCTTTTGAAGTTGAGAATATAACCAAACAACGAGGTAAAAGTTGAAGAGCTACACAAGGTTATATCAAATTATGGATTGGAGTGGGTATATGAAAGAATTAAAAGCCAGAACTGTACGGCGTTAAATCGAATTATGAACTGGATTAAGTATATGAGAGAATTAGAAGCTAGATATTTAGCAACCACGTTTCTTATGATTCTTTATCAGACTTAACGAATCTTAAACAAATTGATGATTTGCAAGCTTAATTTGATGAATCATACAAGCCTTACGAAAGTAATTATGTCAGTGTTGAATTGTATTGTTTGTCAATTGCTAACAATAAACATTTCCTATTCTCACAATCAAACTCTAACATAATAATTCCAGTGTTGAATTTTTAATACTACATATATTTCTCTTTTGTTCCTTGCTATTGTATATATATTATAAATATATTTTTACCCACAATATCTAAATAAAACTACATTATATATGGTAAAACTTATTGATTCAAAGGTGTTGTTAGCAAGAAGTTGATGTTTTCATATCTTCAGTTTTACCACGCTTTCACTATACAATCTTGGGTTTGTCATATTTAATTTTGTTTCTTATTACTCACTTATTGTTATTAATTTTCTCCAATTTCTCATTTGAATTTTTAACTATGAAAGTTTATTAACAATTTGCATCTCAATGTAAATTTTAATTTCGACCTATAATGTCAATCATCACACGTATGATTAAAAATAAAAATTATGTGATATGTTCATTTGAAAGAAACATGAAATATATCATAAAAATAATGTTTAGACATAAAAAATGAATGACAAAAGTAAAATAGAAATTTAGATAAATAGTAAGGTGGTACGTTGAACCTAAAATTTATTTATTTATTTTTAATTTTTCGATTTACATCATGCAGGCGGTGTATAGGGACCAATAATGTTGTAAATGAGAGAAAAATATGGGTGTAGGAAAGTGGATATTCAGCTAACTCATGCCCACGTTAATGAAAGCTGACCAAAAAGAAGCTTCTTTCATTACCATTTCTCAAGCTTCGTTCATTACCATTTCTCAAGCTTCTTTCAAAATTTTTTAATTTTTTTTATTATTATTTCAATTTGTAAGCCACCCAACCCCACCATCATAACCCATCAATTAATTTTATAGTACATAGAGAACGGTCAACTGGTTTTTATTTTATTAATAGATAGAAATGTACATGTAATGGTTATTTAAGGTAATTAATGAATAATTAATCAGAAGAGGTTCATAATTTAGTAACCTAGAACATGAAACATAAATCTGACCCACTGAAACATATATATTTTGATTGTCTAATGAGCATGCCAAATTCATCATTATATGTCAATTCAAGTTTGTTCCCTTGTTTGATGCACCTCATCATAGATCATAGATGTGCCCAACGTTCCCACCATTCTAATTAAATCACTATTTGTCAAAAATTAAATTGTATACATTATTTTGTAAACATAGTAAATTATCTTTTGCAGCTCATTTAATCATGTAGCTTACATCAACCCTTTCTTTTGATTACATTTATTTGTTTCTGAAGCTATTCCATTTTGTTTTAATTCAAATTAATATTGCCTAAAGTTTATCGTTATGTCTTCTTGTCAGAAGAATGTAAGAATATATATATATTTTGATATCGAGTGGTGGCCAGCCCTTAAGATTAACCGGCAGATATGCATAGTTCCTACTCTTAATCTCGGGTCTTTGCAAATGCCCCTCTATATGGACCGGCAAATTTTCTATACACGTGGGGTTATGATCCATGAGCATTGGAGAGCTTAAGCTTAAACAGGGGGTAATGCGAAAAATCACATGAATTATTAGAAATTAGTCTTATTCCATTAAAGAACCTAATTAATGTTGTTAACATGGAGTATGAATAGCTACATTACTAAGCATAAGCATCTAAATGTAAAATAACTCCAAAGTAATTTATATAGTTTTTTTTTTTTTAAAAAAAAAGTTACATAATTCCATAAAAATTACTCCTCCGTCTCATTTTATTTACATGGATATTAAGAATTTAATTAACAAAAATTATTTTGCCATTTTTTATTAAGAATTTAATTAACAAAAATTATTTTGCCATTTTTTACTCTTAACTCATTAAGATATTAATAAAAGTATTTCATTTAATGAACAATCATAAATATTACTATAGGAAAAATAATTATTTACATATTTAAATTTATAAACCTTACAAATATTTTTGGACATCTAAAAATGAATAACAAGCAAATAAAATGGGACGAGAGTATTTTTATATATTTGTAAATAGCCACTTGCGAAGCACCGATCAACGACTAATGAGAAATAAATGCATTTACAAATTTATCCAATCAATTTTTAAAGTTTAAAGTTAGTTATCTTGTTTATACAATTTCGAGATAGAGTTTGTAACCATAGAATATTGATATAATGAAATAAATTAAGAATTAAAATAATTAATCAAGTTAAACTGAATTATTTATGCCTTAAAAGATATGTACTAAAAGAGTTTGGTTAAAGGCTTATAATTAACAACATGCAATTTGCTATGAGTTAGGGAAGTATGAATTAAGGAATAAACAAACGTGAACATATAAATATACCTTTTGTGTGTGTGTGTGTGTGTGTGTGTGCATGTGAACATATTGAGAATTGAAAATAAAAAAAAAAATGTCAATTTTCTTTTAAAAATTTGACAATTTTATTTTCTGAATAAAAATTGCATTGTCAACTTGTCTCATGAAACCTTAATACCCGCAAGGCTAGGCATTATATAAAAACCGTGCATGTGAACATAAGCAAAGTTCCAATGTTTGATCACAAAACAATTTAAATAGCCGTTGACAAAACTGAAGAACCTTAAATTCCAGGAATACATGTTCCTTAACTGCATTGCCAAATCCTTTAGGATCACGTGATATTATTAGCAACCAGCATATTTCTCTAATTTCCAGAATTTTTTAACTATTAAAGTCTATAATTAGCCAATACATTCTTATCAAATGGCATAAACTATTCATGAAGCTGAAAGCCTAAAAATTATCAACATCTATTGCTTTTTTTTTTTTTTTTTTTTTTTTTCTTTTTTTTTTCTGTTCTATCAGCAAACAAATTTCTTGTTATTATTAAAATTTCTGGTTTTTTTTTTTTTTTTTTTTTTTCTATCAGCAAAATTTCTTTTATTATTAAAATCTGGGAAAGCCTTAACACAACCAAGCATCTAAACCCAAGCCATCAAGCCTCCCAAAATACACCCATTCTAGCTCGAAAATGTTAAGTGAAAAAATCCGGGAAACTATACATCAGCTTGAAATCTCTTCTCGAGATAATAAAAGAAAATAAAAACAATTGAAGAAAAAATCATATAGCCTCAATAGTAAAAATCAAATCCCAACAATAAAGGGCACTGTTGCATCTACACATCTCTTAGCCAAGTTATCAGCAAAATGGTTTCTCTCTTGAATCACATGATGAAAGGAGATATTACCCGTGGATTCTAGTATCATATCAAATTTATTGAAATATTTCCACCACTTTCAAAGACGTTTGTCCCTTTGAGATACCCAACATATAACATTTTTAGAATCTAATTCAATAATTAAAAGGCAATATTTAAAGTCCGACAGAGAAAATACCTCCACTGCTTTAAAGATGTCAAGAAGTTCTACATAATAAAAAACAAGCACACCCGCAAACTCAAAAAATAAACAGATCATTGTATCTTCTGAATTTCTAAGAACTCCACCAATACCAGTTGGGCCTGATTTTCCTCTAGAAGCTCCATCAGTGTTAAATTTTAGATAATCCGTAGAAGATTGTTGCCTTTCCAGCACAGATTTTTGTATATAACTGTCCAAATATCCAAGCCATCTACTCTTACAAACCAAGATCGAGTGAGAGAACTAATCATTAAAATAAAAAGGAATAGATGGAAACTTAACCTTAAGAAGCTCAAAGCTGCGTAATTTAATAATATTAATAAGAGAAGCATTGTAGCATTGTCTTGTCTAATCCCAGAGAAAATGAAGTTGTTCCTTCGAAGCCAAATTGGCCAACAAGTTATAAAAAATAAGGAAACCCATGCAATATACAGCCCTTTAAACTTTAATAAGCTTTCCCATTACCAACATAAATCATTCAAAGAGGATGGTAGAACACCAGAAACATTCCACCATTAGAAAATAGATAACCAAATCTCTCTAGAAGTTTCACAAAGCAACAATATATGGTTGAGCATACACATCCATCAAGGCTCAAAATAAGATTTCTTTTGAACAAATTGGTAATAATAAAATATCTCGATGATCAAAAGTCCAAGCAAGCTTTTTTCAAAAGGAAGCCTTTTTCTGATTTAAACCTCCACCACCATTCGCCGAGGAGAGTAGTATTTTTTCTTTTAAATGATGCAACACCTAAACCTCCACTCTTTTTATCAAAAGATATTTTTTTCCAAGCAACCCAGTTCAATAGTTTTCCCCCCTCTAAACCCTTGCCCTAAAAAAATTTACATTGGATCGATTCAATGCCGCTGATAACTTTAGCAGGTAGACATGTAAAAAGTTATCCTATATTACAAGATAAATATTTAAATTGTTAGAAAGTTATCCTTTACAAACTTCAGTACATTTTTTAAAATTGACGAACAAAACTTTAGTAACTAAAATTGATCTCCTGAAATTTAAAGATTTAGTTTGGATTTTTTTCCATGAAATTAAAAACCTATCAAATATTTAATTATGAAAAATATACTATACAACTTAGAAACTTAGAAACCTTAAACCTCAAACTCTAAACTTTAAAACTCAAAGTTCCATGTTCAATTTTTATAGTTATACATATTAAACTTTGAGTTATACTTGTACTTAGGTTGGATTCCTACCCACATTGAATAAAAAATCTAGTAATAAAAAATAACATTCTAGAATTACAATTATTTTTACTGCAAATGCTAGTACTTTAATCATAGTTCTAGAACTTAGTTACTTTTCAACGATACATACATCCAACCCCGAACCGTACGATTTTTCCACTAATTTTAATTTTTTGAATTTTTCCTTCTTTCCATATTATATTTTGATCTTAATTTTAAAATTCCATTCTTACCCTTCCTCAAAAGTCTATAAATTCCTCCCTGCACAGTCTACCCTCTTCACATCTTCAGCTCCTTTGACATTTATACAAAAATGACTTGCAGTTACAAGGTCAGCACCCTTTGCATTATAGCTTTCCTCCTTATCTCCCTCACTCTCGCCAATGCCATCCGGCCGGAGCCAGCCTTTGCCGGTGTTTCTCCGGTGAAATCCGAACACAGGGTATCCTAGTTTAATCTCTTAACTTCAATCTTTCTCTTCTTTTTTTTTTTTTGGGGGGGGTTCATTTCGATTAGGGTATTCTCAGCTTTGCATTCTCTGAACCTAAAATCTTTTCTCGGATGATGCTTCGGCTGTACATTCAACAATTGTTTTATATTGATTTTTTTTTTCTTTCGCACCCAACTGTAGTTTTATAAGTTTTAATAAAAATTTGTATTTTTATTTATTGAAGGATATTGGTCAAGCAAATAGGGATGAAGTAGAAGAGAACTGCGTAGGAGTAGAGGAAGAGGAGTGCTTGATGAGAAGAACACTTGCAGCTCATATCGATTATATTTACACCCAGAAAAATAGTCCATGAAATTATTTACATGTTTAGTCATTTTCTTGTTTCGATAGATATTTATATATATGTGTTATTTTTATTTATTTTTATGTAAGTAATATATAGAGCAGCCACATTTCATTATTAATTTCAGGCTTCTGCTAGGTCTGATACATATAAGATTTTCCTTTGTATTTATATTTGTCTACTTTATTTAAATTTTGTCCAAATCTAGAAAAAAAAAATGTTCTGGAGCTTCATTTTGAGATGAAAATTGAATTGGAAAATTAATTCAGAGACAAAAGATAAAGAAGAATAATATTTTAAAATTAACAAGAAATTTTGCTAATTTTCAAATTTTGCATTGATATAATTTGGTGCTAATTAATTTTCTTTTTCTATATATATTAAAAACTCCATAACCGTCTAAATTCCTAGCTGGATTAGACTGCCTCTAATACCGAACATAAAAATTTTGAATATTATATATTATATCCAAGTGCATATCTATATTTAGCTTGGATGGAACTAATTAATTTAGTCTTTACCAACTTATCTACTCTATATATAAAAATGAAAAAAATATAATTGAGCATCTGCAGGAAGCTAACATAAGGCACATGGAGATACTTTGCTTTGTTATCATTAAGGAAGTCAAACTAAAAAATAAAATAAATATTAATTAGCATTTTTTGGTAGAACGTAGAGTTGTAATCCCAGTAGAATGTAAAGATTTTTAATCAAATTTGTATTATTATTTTTACAGAAATTGAAGCTGCTTAGTATTCAATAACACATTATTATTAATTGCAGACGAATAATCTTTGTTTCGTGAAGAATTGTTTTACGAAATTATGACAACCATTAATACTTCTACTTGACAAGAAAACTTTAACTACCCTGATTGTTGAAAATTTGAATACTCATGGAAGATTCTACAAATGGTCAATTGAAGTAACTTGTCCAGAAATTATATATAGATACATGGTATTGATGCAAAGTCAATTCTCGAAGCCAATATTCTATGCTTTGAATTCAAAATCTGACATTTGAATTAAACCATTTTTAATGGTAGCAATTCTCGAGCTCAAGTCGCATAATAAATAAAAAAATAATAACAATTTAAAATTTTAAAAATTTTATAAGTAAAATTCGTCTGAAAATATAATTAGAGATATATTTTTTTTAATTTTAACCATTAATTTCCAATAACTCGATTCGGTCTTATTCATCGGAATAGACTAAGAACCAAGGAAGGGGATCTACACCAGAAAAGGAGCGGACTCGAACCGCTGACATGCATCCGCCACAGGGTAAACCACCGCCTCTCAGGCCCCCGAGCTAACTCCAAAAACCCGTCCTCAATTCGGATTGCGGGCTGCAACTCGCCTGCATTCGCCTGCATTTGAAGCGGAAATCGCTAGTAAATCGCCGGTTAGCCATTTACGCGTGAATTTGTTCCGGGTAAACCACCGCCTCTCAGGCCCCCGAGCTAACTCCAAAAACCCGTCCTCAATTCGGATTGCGGGCTGCAACTCGCCTGCATGAAGCCGGAATCGCTAGTAATCGCCGGTTAGCCATACGGCGGTGAATTTGTTCCCGGGCCTTGTACACACCGCCCTAAAAACTTTGCGTCTTTAATTTAAATTGATAAAGCCACTGATTTTTTTTTTATATATATATAACAATGAAATTAACAAATTTTACCATATATGTGGGGCAAAACTGAAAAAAAAAAAAATGCAGATTATTAAAGAAATAGACAATATAAGTAAAACATAACTTGAAATCTTTTAATTCTCATCATTTCAAGAGAACAGAGATAAAGAAAATTTGTCGTATGAAATGCTTCTACGAAGCAAGGACATGAAGATAAAAGACCTGCCAAATTAATTATTATGTCTCAATAGTATTATTTTTAGCCACTCATATATTATGAAAACATAATAATTTATCATCAAGGTGGAGGACCCATTTAGTTGTGTAATGTGCAAGCAGCAAGACATAATTGTTGCAAAATATTAGAAGTATGTTGCAGCCACCATTAGGCACATGGCGCAATGAAATGAAACCCACCCCCACTAATCACATCATTAATTATGCTATTACTTACCTTTAGTGCTCTTATTTGACCTCAGCTAATCCCTTTATTCTTGTATTTTAAAAAATCAAACTAACATCAATTTACTAAAATTACATTTCATTTTTTTGGCCATTCGACGTTTGGCCTAATAATAAGAGGTATGAGTTAGGCTCTATTGGGCAATTTCAGCGATTCTAGTAGATGTTAACTGTCGTAGTAGTTGTCAGCTGTTTTACTAGCTATTAGCAGTTAACTGTTAGATATTAACTATTAATGATTAGTTACTTATATAGCTGTTTAAAATAAAAGAGTTCAGTAAGAATACGTGTTTGATTAGCTGTTTAATAGAAAAAGATAAAAAAAGGATAAGGTTATAGAAAACAAAATAAAGATAAGTGATGTCATAAGTTTGATAAGAATTTTATAAAACACTAACCTTAATGAGGATAACGTTTCATGAAACACTGCTTCAAACTCTAAATGTTAGGATAAATGTGACGTTACTGAACACAAAAATTAATTATCAATCAAAACACTAAAAACTAAACACCACTTCAAACGCTCTTGCCAAACAGAGCCTTAAGGTCTGTTTGGCAATTTGAGCTGTTCTAGTAGCTGTTTATTGTTTTAATAGCTATTAACTGTTTTACTATTGGTTAACTGTTAGATATTAGATATTAGTGATTAGCTGTTTATATAGTGGTTTAGAATAAAAGTGTTCGATACAAATAACTATTTAATTCACTGTTTAATATAAAACGACAAAAAATGTGTAAAAGCAGTGAGCAAGGTAAAGATAAGTGATGAGTATAGGTGTCATAAAAAAATTGTAAAATGCTAAACGTTAATGTTAATGAAGATAATGTTTCATGAAATATTGTCTCAAACTCTAAATGCTAGGATAGATATTATATGACCGAATGCTATAATTAATTAATTAACTAAATCAAAACACTAAATACTACTTCAAACACTGCTGCCGAACAAGACATTAGTTTTTTTTCCCTACTATAACCCCTTAATTTAATTAAAAATTGTGTGGTTTTTGTTAATATTTCAAAATTTACTATGTAATTTTTGCGTAAGTTACTCTAGTTGGTAAGAATATAAGAATTTTTCTTTTGTATTAACTAGGGTATATTTTAGGCAGAAAATATTTTAGGAGAACTAATTGTTTCCTTAATTCTGATTATATTTTAGGACAGAGAATATATAGCTAGCCTAGGATTTAATTTAATTAGATTGTATTAATATTTGTAATTATGCAATTGTTTATGGCATTGTTGACTATTATTAGGTGATTCCAAGATGAAATGAATCTTATGCTGTTCACATTTATATAAGACCGTCAATGAGATTAATTTATGCGTATTATACAATTATTAATTTTTATTTATGTTTACAATACTTATATGCATATCATCTAAAGATGTCTATTAAGGTAAAATTCACTTAAAATAATAAAAAATTGATCTTAAAATTTATATTGGATGTAAAAAATTAATGGGCTTTTAAATAATGTTGTATTATTAAAATTTTGCCAACGAAATCATTAAGTTCTTAAATTTAGATCCTAAATTTTTATCACTTGATTTTCAATTTTATTAAACAACACCACCTAATATTATTTTTCAATTGTTTTATTGGATAATTTAACTTTAAAATCCTGTTTTGTTTCAGAAAAATGAAATTTGCATATTGTATTTTGGTGTTGCTCATAAAAAAAATATTGGCTTAATTTTTTTTTTTTTTTTTTTAAATCCGATAGGTTATCAATAGGTTGGATTTTATCACTAATTGGAGAGTCAGGGTTGAGCAATTCACGAATAGAACTGAATATTCAAACCGAACCGACTACTTTCGATTTGATTTGGCTACTATATAAACAACTTTTGATTTGGATTGATTAAATATAAATATAATTCGTTTATTCGATTATGGTGCGGTTAGTAAAAAAAAAAGTGATTTATCCGAAATAAATGGATTGGTGCTAAGATCTTTTGTTGGGACAGATAAAATTACGAGTAATTCCTATAGATGTCATATTTTGAAACTTATATTTAGAGATTATCGGTTTGACTTTTCAGTTTAAATTATTGTAAATTTAGGTTTGATTTTACTTTTATGTCCTTTTTTATTTTGTTAGGTGTTAGTGTTTTAATTGCTTAGTGTTTCATTTTTTTATTAATTTTCTATTTTAATTATCGGTGTTTTAATTGCTTAGTTTTTCTTTTTTATTAATTTTCTATTTTAATTATCATTTTTTTAGTTTCTTTAATTGCAGCCTCCATTATTTTTATTTTTTTGTCATTTATTATTTCCTTATCGTTATTTCTCTTTTACTTTCGTTTTTTTCAGTTGTCAGTTGTTATTCTCATTATTGGCGTTATTTCACGGTTTTTTTATTTTATTTTTTGGATTCTATTTCTCTTCTGCGATTTCATGTTTGTATGAGTGTATCAGCAACTTAATTTTTACCAAAAAATTGTCGTCACCATGGATGTTTTTTATGCATTATAGAGACAAAATATGACTCTCGATTCTATTTGGATTGATATTATATATATAATATATATTATATATGTCGTATTTACTATTATTGTGGTCGTTGTCGCTGGTCGTCGTCCTCATTATTGAATCACATAAGTTGTATAGGAATTTGTTCTTACAGATTTCGTGTTTCTTTGTGTTTTCTTTTTTTTAGAATTTCTTTTTTTTTTTTTTACCGTTTTTTTTTTTCAGCGTTTCCTTTTAATCAAATATATTAGTTTCGTGTTGTTTGAGATTACTTTAATTATTTTTATTTTATTTTTAACCAAATGCGTTAGTTTCTTAGTATTTAATATTTTATAATATTTACTAAAAACTGAAGCCTTTATAACATTTGTCTGAGTGCCCCTAAAATTACAATCCCTAAATATAATAAAATAAAGTTTGAAAATATGACATTTATTATGGTATCTCTGTAACAAATAAAATCGAAGCCCATCTTTGTACTGGGCTAGTAAAATTGGGCTTAGGACGCTTTAGTTTCCGTACGTCGCTGACTATTCGCTCATGTCATGGCTCAATTTTTACTTGTCATCATCCTAGCTAGCGCCAAAACTGTACGATTCCCGCCATTAGTGAAACCCAACTTTCCCTTCAACAACAGAATCCCTAAATCAACAACAGGGCCCACAACACCAAATCACACAAAACCTTTCTGCAATCCTTAAACTGAAAAACCAAATCTCAAAAATGGGCAAAGAAAAGCAATATTGGCTGCTCAAAACTGAGCCAGGAGAATGGTCATGGGAAGATCAAGCTTCTAATGGAGGCATAACCAATTGGGATGGAGTTAAAAACAGGCAAGCTATAAAAAACCTCAAAGCCATGAAACTTAATGATCTTTGCTTCTTCTACCACTCCGGTGCTAGTGCTCGCCGTGTTGTTGGTGTTGTGATTGTTGTTAAAGAAGGGTATCAGACGGATGATGATGAGGTAGTTGTTGATGTTAAGGCGGTTGGGGAGATGAGAAGGCCTGTAGACTTGAAAGAAATGAAAGGAGATGAAAGGATGAAGGGTTTTGCTTTGTTTAGGCAGCCTAGGCTGTCGGTTGTGCCAGTTTCCAAGGAAATTTGGGAGAAAATCTGTGAGTTGGGAGGTGGGTTTGAAGGTGATGGGAATGACAATGGAGAAGAAGATTAGGTGGTTTGGTTGCAATCTGGGTGCTTTTTGTTTGTTTTGTTTTTTTGGGTCTCGTTACAATGTATTAAGTTAGTGTTTTGTCACTTTTCTAAAAAATGGTAAGGTACTAAGGTAGGGCCTTCTGTTACTAATGCTGTTTATTACTTGTATATATAAAGAAGTTGTTATCTTCTTATTGAAAATTGTGGGGGTTTATGAACTGAAAAACACAATTAAGGTTACCACCCTTTGTGGATTGGCGAGAAATAATCATTAACCATTTATCAATTGACCATTAATAATTTATGAATTAGATCATTTGTCGATTTGCGAGTTACTACCCCTTGTCAATTAGTAAAATAGTTATCATCTCTTGTCGATTGGCGAAATATGATCATTAATAATTTGTCGATTTTGGCGAAATATGATCATTAAAAATTGGCGAAATATGATCATTAATAATTTGTCGATTGGCGAAATATGATCATTAACAATTTGTCGATTATTGATCACTAATCATTTGTGGATAGCTAGATTTGGTCATTGATCATTAATCATTTGTGGATTATAGTTACTACCCTTTGTCGATTAGGGAAATCTAATCATTATACCACTTGTCAATTAGCGAAATTTAATCATTAATCATTGTGGATTACCACTCCTTGTCGATCAATGAGTTACCATCATTTCTTGATTACTTATACTGAAAAATACGAAATATGATCATTAATAATTTGTCGATTGGCGAAATATGATCATTAACAATTTGTCGATTATTGATCACTAATCATTTGTGGATAGCTAGATTTGGTCATTGATCATTAATCATTTGTGGATTATAGTTACTACCCTTTGTCGATTAGGGAAATCTAATCATTATACCACTTGTCAATTAGCGAAATTTAATCATTAATCATTGTGGATTACCACTCCTTGTCGATCAATGAGTTACCATCATTTCTTGATTACTTATACTGAAAAATATCTACTGCATTTTCCAGCTGAAAATAATTGAAATTCAATTGTGCATCCAAAGTAGTACTAAGAAGCATAAGCAACGATTTTTTACCATAACAACTATTCCTTTAGGCATTTTATCAAACAACTCGGGGCAAAGAGACCTTAATGGTTTTATGCTAAAAACAACAATTCCTTCAGGCATTTTATCAAACAACTTGTGGGCACAATGTAACAGGCCACTCTATCGGTTAAAAATCAAATTAATCAAAACTGCAAAAAACGACGTGTCATCTCACTGAAGAGCGAAACCTTTTAAGCTAATACAGTAACCGACAAAACTAGAAAGCAATTGTAAAAAGCGCTCAAAACGCCAGAACTGGAACATAGAAGGAGCTTGTCTTCGTCGTCTCTCAGGATAGGCCCAGAAGACATTGCTGAGCAGAGTTGAAGAAATGCAAATGCAAGCTTTAATGCCAATGCGACCTCGTTTTGCTGAACTATTGAGCCGTCAATGGCTAAAACCTTTAAGCTTCCGCGCTTTTTCATCTTCATCAGATTACTCGAACCAATCCCGTGGCGGTCTCCCTCGCTTCTTCTCCGAAGTTCTTCCTTCTTCAAAAGTACTCTCTCTTTCTCTCTCTAGAAGGTGCAATTTTGAGTACTCAATACAATCTTTTCTACTTGGTTAAAGTTGTAAAGGAGTTTTTCAATTGTCTTCAAGAGCTAAAAACCATAGTTTTGTTGGCACTTATTGGAAGGGTTAGGCTATTTGACATGCATTGGCTAGTTCTTTATTAGTTGATTGGATTCTACCTACTAAAAGGAGTTTGATTGTATAATTTGTTCATTAAATTAAATCCTTTCGTTTAACTACTTTAGTTTATCCTGAGTGCTGGTTTATTGTACTAGTCTGAGTTTCCAGTGAATGGTAATAATTAAATCCATAACTTGTCTCCAAGTAGAACCATTCACATGAATCAATCCCAATATGATAATAATATGATGAATTGATGCAATCAATGAGAAGGCATGAGAGGAATGGAACCATTTGAAAATGGAAACCTTGCTTTGATAATATCAATATGAAATGGGTATTATTGAACATGATTTACCTTCTCTTTCCCTTTGCTCAGCGAATAGTTTAAGCGAAAAAAGAAAGATAAAATAGGGGCAAAACTTGGTTTCTATAAATACGTTTGCTATGTTTTTATTTATTTAAAGTAAAATTTCCATGCTGTTATCAAGTTAGGTAATCAACTTTAACCAAACCATATTTTCATTTAGGCCGTTAAATGCACAGAGTTAAGTTTATCTTTTTTTCTTTTGGTTCAAGTGTCTGATGATCTTAATTCTTTTTTTCAATTACTCTCATAAATGATAAACTGATACTCACTTTAAATACTCAAAGCTTCTGCACAATTGGTAGCTGGTTGTACTTGAGGTCTCAGCAGAGTAGGTATATGAAGTAAAGCTTTTACTTTTATGAAAGTTTATAGGTAAATTTATGCTTGACCATCAAATATGGAATTTTTATTATTTTCCATGACAATGCAGGGAGGTGTTGTTCGTCTACAAGGTGATGAATTCTGGCATATGACTAAAGTTTTAAGGTTGAGCACGGATGATAGGTAGTCACTAATTATTTTTGAGTTTTATCTTGCAAACATGCACATGTATAGCCCAATCAAAGCATATCTTTTATATAGACCTTTTCTGGCTTTTTCCTTGTCCTGATTAATAATAAAATGTTATTATCTATTCCAAGTTTGACTGGTTGGCTAAAACTGATAACAGTTTGTTAGTCAAGCTAAAAGTTCCAAAGTTAAAAGGTTTGGTAAAAATAGAAAAACACACTAGTTTGGATTTCATTTTTGGCCATTAGGCTTTTTACAGGGGATTAGTTTTAGTTTATGGAAGTAGCTTTCTGACAAATGCTGTGACTAGTAGCTCTGATACTTTGATATGTGTGGTAGAGGTGGATGGTGAGGGTTCAAAGGCTAATTAATTATAAAAAACATAATATATGGATCTGTCAACTCACTATCATGTTTAATCACATCTGCATCTTTCTGAGTTTGTTAGCAGATAATTTTCTTGGTTTGGATGTTGGTATGATGCACTGGCAAGTGGCATCATAAGCATTTGTGTTTGTAATAGACCTTTAATAGGTTTTTAATGTTGGAATTTCAAGTTTAATGTGAAATTTTATTCAAAAATAATGTAAAGAACTAATTTGGGCTTGGCAGATGGTCTGAAACCCATGTTTTATATTATGCACTTTAAGTTCATTATTTGTTTGTATGGAAATGGAAATTCATGTAAATTTACTGGGTAGTTAGTCCTCTCAAATTTGTGAAATGGAAAGATAGCATGTGTTCTTTTAATTACAATATATAAATTTTCCAAATAATGAAATGCAAGGGTAGAGCTCTTCAATGGGAAAGGAGGTCTGGTAGAAGGATGCATTCAGAGAATTGATCGTACTGGACTTGATTTTCTGGCAGTTGAAGATCCAAAGTTAATTCTTCCTAAGACAACAAAATGGCATGTCTTTGCAGCATTTGGTAAGTTTCAGTGGAATTTGGGCATAAAAGTGATTGGAATATTTAAAGCTCATAACTTTGTAATCACATGCTGAAACCTGTTCCTCTTTAGGTACTCTAAAGGGTGGTCGAGCTGATTGGCTAGTGGAGAAATGCACTGTATGTCTTAAATGCATATCTGAGTATTTTTCTACCTTGAAACTAGACCTTATCCCTTTCTTTTGCAATTGCTAAGCTACTACTTTTTCTCTTCCTAGGAGCTAGGTGCTCATAGTGTGACACCTCTGCTTACAGAACGCTCCCCATCAATTTCAGAAAACCGTGTGGAAAGATTTCAACGAGTCATTTTAGCAGCAACTAAGCAGTGTAAAGAATTAGTCCAGTGATTTTCTTTATGCTCAAATTAATTTGATGCCCTTAAATTTGCTTCAAGTGTTTAATTCACATTGGTCCATATATGGTCTTTTAACCTGAGATTTTTCATTCAGCTATATTTTCTTTTCATTTGTTTCAAACCCCTATATTAGGTCAGCGGCTGGATGAAATGATTCTAAACCCTCCTACAAAAGTTAATGGCCTTTTACCTATTGTGAGTTGTTCTTCCCTACTTTTTGTAGTTACAGGTTGGATAGTTAACTAGTTATCTTGTCTGAAGTTGGAAGGTTGGGTAGTTTTCTTGCTTGAAGTAGGAAGGTTGTTAGCTATCTTGTTTGAAGTAGGACCACTGACCTGTATTTATGAGCTATGTGGTTTGTTAAATTAGAAATTAAAAGGGTTATAATTCAAGGAAGAAAGGTATAATTTTGTTGGTGTTCATTATAACAGGGTCTCTATGAATTTTAGGCTGTAGGAAAATCCAGGGAGCTGAATAGTCAATTGAAAGGAAAACTATAAATTATTGTCAAAGATCACATGGAGCACTAAGGGCTAGAATTTTGGGTGGAGATTTTTAGATTTGAATTGGTTGTTATCTGCTGTATGGCAAACATTACCTGAGACTACAGCAGTAGTTAGTGATGAATAAAGAGGAAGAAAAAGAGGAGTAGGTGCACATAATTTCAAGCCTCACTCAACACACTCGCTTAAAGTTTGTATAATAATCAACTGTAATAATTAAACACACGTCCTTTATAGAGTACTTGTAAATCTTAGTACATCTAGGATTTCCAGAACTCAGAGAGTTATATTATCCCTACTTACATAATTAAAGCCATTTGATTATAGGGCTTTATCTTGAAAATTACATATGCACATGATATGATGGTCGATATTAAAAATCTTATCAGGGCATGTCAAAAGCAAAAGATAAGAAATGATATTTCTGCAAATAATGGTTGTTCAGAATTAGATAGCAAGACAAGCATCAATAAACCTCTTTATTCTTTCATATAAAACTCATGCATTACTACCAAAGCATTATTTGCCTAGAATCTACGGAAAGAGCAGGCGCAAAGCTAGAATTTTGAATTAAGCAGGGGCAAAGTAGCAATATTCTATCAGACAAGTAAAATTATTTAAACAGAGTTCATTATTTTAATTTTGTTAACAATAAGCTCTAAAAATTTATACCTCTTATTTAATTGATATCTTTTATATAGTCACACTTAAAGAGACTAAAGTATCTTATAATGTAACAATTTACTGATTAGAATGCTTAATTCTTTTAGCAATTAAAGAGCTTAATTTTTTATTGGATAAGTAGAGTCTTTAATGAAGAACAATTTAAGTTTAAAATTTTAGGAACTAAACTATAGTGTAGTTTAAAATGGTTTGACACTAAAATTTAGTAAAAAAATTTAGAACTTAAACTATTGAGTTGTTACCAAATAAAACACTTAAAGGTTATCCAAAGGAAAATCATAAGAAAATCTAAATATAGTTGAAGCTATGAATTTTAACAATTTTAAGAATCAAAATTAACAAAAAATAATTTAATTAATAATATAACAAATTATGAAATTTAAAAAACTAGTATGCTAATTATTACACTCACTAATCTTTGAAAAAAAAAAGAATAAAAAAATCAATGTACAAAATAGAATGTGGCACCAATATAGATACATAAATTTTAGAGACCAAAACCTCATGATTAAGTTTGCTATTTTGTAGTTTTCTGTATTTTTTGAACCTTATCTTGCCATAATTTTAGTTTAACTTTTATTTTACATTTTTTGGTACACAAACCAAAAAATAATGAGGTCAACTGCTATTTTAGTACGGGGCACATTAAGTTTAATGTAAAAAATTTTTTTCTACACTTCTTTTAAAAAAAAAAAAAAAAAAAACAAAAGGGGAAGGGGCAATTTACCCCTTCTTTGTAACACATAGCATTGCCACTGGGAAAGAGGGCTACCATTGCAAAAGATTAACCTTAGTCCAGGCACGCATTAACTAGGTTTTTAAAAAAAAAAAAAAAAAAAACAAAAGGAGGAAGGGGCAATTTACCCCTTCTTTGTAACATAGCATTGCCACTGGGAAAGAGGTACCATGCAAAGATTAACCTAGTCCAGGCACGCATTAACTTAGGTCAGACTGATTCCTGCCCATGCAAAAAATATCTTGTTCAAGCCATGTCTTGTTGGTTGGGTGGGCTCCAGGACAATTCTTAGCTTGTAACCATGCAATGGATCCACCATTTTTCGCTTTTATTTGTGAAACAATAAAGAATAGGATAGCATGTTCTGTTCCTGAAAACTAATGTTCTAGGATATAGTTTGTGCCCATTAATGAAATCAAAATTTACATTTATTGTTATATAGGTTGCCAAGTCAAAGCTTTCTTTTCTGGCAGCAGCAGAAGCTGCTCCTGTTGTTAGCGTATTGGCGTCATCAAGAAATGAAACAAGTGGATTGATAATGGTGGGACCGGAAGGAGGTCAGTAGTATGCAGCCTTTGTGCTCCCTAACTCTTGCAATTTTCTTCTTCTGCGTATCAGTTCATATTATTTTTTTTTGGCTTGCGTGGTTTCTTACACGGAATATGTTCACTTGGCATTAGAGGATTTAAGTTTTCAGTTCATCCTCCTTTCAGCAGTCTAGTTTTTCGAAATTTGTCTTAAGGATAGCTTGATTTTCTTTATAGATAACTACAGATATTACTGAACACTGCAATTGTTTTTACCATATGCATCTTAACTGTTGATATATCCCTTTTTCAGTATATAGAAGGATAAAACCTATCCTTTAGTAGCAATGATGGGTTTTAGAGATGCTTTTGGACATCTATAACATACACCTTAAACATTAATATATCCAGTTAAGCTGTTTAAGGTTGCAGCAAATGAAAACAAGTTCTTCTTTATGTCCAGATTATCCTTGATGCAATGTTCCATATTAATTGTCTGATTTGTTCTTTAGTTGACACTTTATGATTTGTTCTGTGCTTTTTTGTTGTTGCATATATACTACCATATTCACATTCTGTTTACCTTGAATGAATAGTAAGGTTGATTTCAGAGATTCTTTTGCTCTTAAGGAATTGTTTCTGTACCAGCTCGTTATGACATTTTTATTCCCATTACATTGTACTATTCCAGTGAAATGAGATAATTAACTTTTATCTTCCCCAGTATGCCATAGTCCTAGCTTCAGTTTCCGGTCAGTCAATGTCTTCTGGAAAATGAAGCGAACTTTTGTGGATTTATGATTGTGGAATATTTCAGACTTCACGGAGAGGGAGGTGGCTTTGATTATGGAAGCAGGTGCTACAGCTGTTGGTCTTGGACCTCTTCGACTACGTGTTGAAACTGCAACAATGGCACTTTTAGCAACTCTAACGTTATGGTCTGATGCTCAACAGCTATCCAATGCATAGTTACATTACAAAGTAAGATGTCTTTAACACTTTTGCTGCTCCTTGCTGTCTGTCTGATTGAGGTGTATAGCTTAACTAGGAGGATATCTTGCTTTTGTACGAGATACATATAAAGGGTGCAATGAATTAAACCGAATGAGCGACTGAAAGAAAGAAATTAACTATGATATTTATAACTTAACTCTTGCTTTCAATTTAACAAGTTTCTAGTTATCAAGTGTCGACCACTTCCTATGCGACATCGATGAATGTATTTCAGTTATTCGGCAACAGTGAGGTCTCCTAAAATAGTTTTTGACTGCTATTTTTCTTAGAGCTACAGTAACTCGGTTAGTTTTGGAATAAGCATCACTCTTTATAGTTAGTTACCTAATGGGAAGATGACCTATTATTACGAGGTTAGATAATCCTGTGTGTGCCAAGATCATTTGGATGGCTTGAAATGAAATCTGACTCGTCTAGCACTTTGAACATAGCCTATATGCCAGCCCCCCAGTTTATGTCAAACATGGCTTTAGTCAATGCATTGATGATAGAGACAAAAAGGGGATGAGGAATAGAGAGAGGATAAAACAAAAACATGAGGTCTGATGCTGGTATTAGGCTATTGTGTAGTATTTAGTTCTTTATTTGTGGAACAACTTTACACTCTACAATGTACCGTTTATACTTGCATCTACATTCATTTTGTATCTGTGCTTCCATTTTATTTTGACTTCATTTTCAGCTTTTTTGAAAAATCATATCCTATACGAGGCCTGTGGCTCCTGATGTTTGAACTTGCAAGTATCATAGACATCAAGATCATGACATTTTTTGACTATGTAAAATTTGGATTAAATTAAATTTTTTGAATTTTGTTAAACAAACCATTCAAATGTCAACCTTTGACAAGTCTAGCTAAAACATTCAGTTGCTTGCTTACGCAAGAAATTTGAAAATTTTGGTAAATTTGAAAAGGGAAAGTCAAACTCAAAGGTTGAATTGTAGGTTCCCAGTTGCTTAAGCATTATGCAATGACTGACTCAAGAAATATAGTAATGTCTCATGACTGATTGAGGGTAGAGCGTACTGTACTTGGAAATTACTATGAAAGGACTTAACAGTATGAAAATATAGGTAATTTTTCTTTTTTAACTGTGATACATCTGACCTACCTATCATAAATAATGTTTTAAGCTTTTACAAGTTCTATTACAATATGTTCTTGTTTGAGTGATTATTTCAAAACCAATTGATTTTTTCGAGTTGACTGATTTTCTTTTTAAACTATAACATATAATTTTTTTCTGATGCAGGCGATATTCGAGCTTTACCAGTTTGAAGAGTGCTTCAATAATTACGCTCCATTGTCCTCAATATTTAACTTCCTGCAGTCATAAACTTCAGAACAATTTTGTTCAACATTCATACAGTTACCTATCATGGGTAATTCCAACTTACTCTTGTGCCTTGTAATGAATTCATCTCAAATGTTTGGATACCCGTAGTTCCTCGACTTTGTGTTGGAAAATGTTCATCCTAGTTATAATACTCTCAGGGTTGCCTGCGAATTTTATTTTGTGAAAAGAAAAATGCAGATTCTAGTACTGAAATTTCAAAAATTTTAACATTTCCAAGTCTAAGCGAACAGATCTGGATGGGGTATGGTTGTTGCATGATGAAGGTATATCAGGGGAAGGCTTTGGCTTTGAATTTCCACAATATGACATACCAGTCTTTAATTTATGCTAATCAATTATATTATATTATGGTCACCTTTGTCTAGCATTTATTATTTTAGAGATAAAGTTGAAGGGGACTCGGAGATTCCTTAGGCCTTGTGTTGCTTATTATTATTGTAAGTATGGCCACAGTGGTCGGCTGCTCTTTTTAACATTTATGAATTTATATTATTTTGTAAGATATTAGTATCATTTATGTGTTGACTCTTATCTTTTGTTTTTCCAATGTATATATTTTTCCCATTTGTTTACTTTTCTTGGTGTTAGTTGGGGTTTTATGTTTTTGCTTTTCTTGACCCTTGGCATTTGAGAATTTTCATATTAAGGATTTCTCAAAATAAAACAATTTGAATTTATATTATTTTGTAAGATATTAGTATCATTTATGTGTTGACTCTTATCTTTTGTTTTTCCAATGTATATATTTTTCCCATTTGTTTACTTTTCTTGGTGTTAGTTGGGGTTTTACGTTTTTGCTTTTCTTGACCCTTGGCATTTGAGAATTTTCATATTAAGGATTTCTCAAAATAAAATAATTTTTTTAAAAAAAATTGTTTAATGTGTACCTTATAAATAAACAATTAAATATATTATTATTACTATTAACCAGATCTTAATAAACAAATAATTAAAATATGATTTTTATATTCCTAAATTAAAAAAAAAAGGAAAGAAACGGTTGTATTAGAAAGATTAAAAAAATTTATTTAGGAGAGGGGCACATGCTTTTTTCTCACCATGTATGTTTGGCCATGACCATGCCCTTAATATCTTATGGAGGTTGTAATAATTACTACCGAAAGTTCTCTTATTAATTATATGGCATGGATGGTGTTACATTTTCTGGATTTTTTTTTTTTTTTTTTTTTTTTTTTTTTTTTATGTTTGGCCATTGACCCATGCCCTTAATATCTTATGGAGGTTGTAATAATTACTACCGAAAGTTCTCTATTAATTATTTGGCATGGATTGGTTTTTACATTTTTCTGGATTTTTTTTTTCTTTTTTTTTTTTTTTTTTTTTTTGAAAAATGGGTTTTTCATGGAAATTTTTTTTTTTTTTTTTTTTTTTTTTTTTTTTGAAAATGGGTTTTCATGGAAAGATTGGATTTTTCTCTTTTACTTGCTCAATATTTTTAAGCAAAAAATTATTTTGGGTCCTTTGTATTTCACCGTTCTCTATTTTCTTAACCTATTCTTAAATTTGGCAGGTAGAGCATGAACCTTTTTTTACCTTTCTGGAAAAAGGGCAAAAAGAAGTAGAGAGAAAAAAAGAAATAGAAGAAGAAAATTCATTTTTGGGATCAATCATCACTTTCCTGTCAAATTTGAGAGAAAGAAGAGTAGAGTAAAAGGGACAGAATGCCTATTCAATTCCTTAGATGTACCTACTAATTTAGATGATTAATTATTAAAAGTTACAATGATACTCCTTCTGTCTTAACCAAATAGGCTTTTTTTTTTTTTTTAAATTTCGAATTAATTTCTCAATTAACTAGTAACAACTCTTAATCAACTGTTAATTCCATTTATTACATTTTGAAATTTTTCGATATCGGCTGGTAGATGATTTGTACTATAATTACTTTTTTTTTATATTCCTTTCATAATATTAAAAAAGAGAAGTTACAAATTTACAATTGATTAACTACCTTTTTATTAGTTCTCTAAATAACTAACATTTATTTATTAGAAATGTGATAAAAAAAAGTAGATTTTGAGAGTACATTAATTATTTTTTAAAAAATTTTATCTATATTTATTAGATGTTTTATAGCTCATAAAAAAGTAGATTTTTTAATTTGAAGAAGAGTAATTTAGATATTCTACTATATATTTGTAAAAAATTAATACATTTTAATATTTTTCAATTCTTTAAGATAATGTCAAGTGTTGTTATTAAGGTATGCGATGGGAAATTTAAAAAATTAATATGTTTTAATATTTTTTTAATTTTTTACGAAAATGTCAAATGTTGTTATTAACATATGTAACGGATGAGTATTAACTAACAGAATCAGTTAAACGAAATCGACCCTTAAGGAGACAAGGAAATCTCCCAAGCTTTTGGGAAGAAAGAGCTCCAATGTATGAATAGAGTGCTTAATAGTATCTTATGAAAATAAAATCACAAGAAATGAAGATAAGATACCCTATTTAGGAGGTCACGATAGCTCTTGGGGTCAATTAATTGAGCACCTGACTCCTCTGTCAATACGTGTCTCTTTGCACGTGTATTTCTTTTAAACAAATCCAATAGGCCGGCTAGGCTTTAATTTAATTAATAAAAATTGATGTCATAAAACTCTAATTTCCGACATTTGAAATTTTTTAATTTTATGCTAACAATGGGATGATATTTTAATTAAAAATGACGATTTTATCTCTGATTTTATGAGATTTGTCTTTTAATTCAATATTTATTTATGTCGTTGAATAGATACAATTTTTTATATAATAGTAAGTAATATATACTTTTTGAAATAAATAAATAAATCCAAGAGATGGAAACGTGGATATAAAATTATACATTAAATGCATATATTATAAGGAAAAAAATCATCAAGAAGACAGAGGAAAGAAATGATGATGATTGATGAATGTCAAGAATAATACACAATCAAAAAATAAAAAATAAAAAATAGTAAGACTTTGGGTGTCAAAGAAAATCCAAAGTCTAGGCAGAAAGATTAATAAACGGAAGTCCATTTTCCTATGACAGAGATTGAAATGGCGTGCAGGTTGTTCATAGCTGCCTATGTCTGCTCACTCTCAATTTATTGCTTTCATTTCCTATGTTTGACAAATTTTATGAGACATTAATTGACTATCGAAACAAGAAACCACAAATTTTGACTAATAAATTCACTAGGGCCTTCTTTGTCTTTTACTATTTTATTTTTATATGTAATTTTGATTACCAGTCAATTTCATGTATATATACTTTAAATTTATTTATCAATATATATTTTTTTTTTGAAAATTATTTATTTATCAATATGGAATATTCAAAGTGATGAAATGTGACATGGCAATTATTAATGATCAAGTGAATTTTATGCCTTTATTTCTTTTAATAAAATATACTCCTATAATTATATCTTGATAGATTATATATTGAAATAAAGAAATTAATGCTTTATCTTCAGAGATCATTGTTTATATTTTCTTTAAATAATTGGGAGTTGGCACTCGATTTATTAATATTAATATATTCCACGAGTTAGGGTGTATCTTTTTTCAAAAAAAAAAAAAAAAGAAAAAGGAAAATCTTTTCAAAAAAAAAAAAAAAAAGCAAAAAGGAAACATATCTCTGTACATTAATTACAAATGATTTTTAAAGAGGAACAGATGAATTTTTTTTTCAATTTATCTTTATTAAAAAAAAAAAAAAAAAGAAAAAGGAAAAGCATATCTCTGTACATTATTACAAATGATTTTTAAAGAGGAACAGATGATTTTTTTTTTTCAATTTTATCTTTATTTATATAATATAATAATTATCTTCACAAGTTACTATTAATTTTGAAATAAATGGTAATTTGGTCAAATTATTCTTTATTTTGTTATAATTTAAGAGAATTAATTATTTTCTTAATTTTTTGTGCAAAAACTTTAAACGATTTTAATTTCGGCACTGAAAGAGTAATTTCTAAAACTTTGATTTTTTATTTTACTGATCACGGTTGGATTATACTAAAATCACTATTTCCAATCTTGCACGTGATTAGTGAAAAGTTTTAATGATAAAATTGAGGGTTAAGTTAATTATTCTATTCATTCACTTTTCATTTGCCATAACAATTGAATAATAAGAGATAAGCCCTCAAATTCTTATCAATTAAATAAATTTAAATCATCTATTAGTTAATTAATATCCAATATATATTAGGCTTTTCTAGTATTTGTTCAAGACGATATCACAAACTTGGTCTCATTACCTAAAATTAATAAATGTATCTTTGATGTGATTAACAAGTGAATTTGTTATTTGAGTATTTATTCCTTTTTGTCCATTTGGCTTTCAATTTAAAATCCTATATAAGAACTTCAATATTACTAAATAAAAGTTATTGCCTCCATTCCATAATTTTTATCACGTTTGAGAAAATAGTTTGTTTTAAAATATTTATCACATTTGTTGTTTTGAAGAGTAATAAATCATTTTTTTCATGTTTACCCGATCAATAATTATTAATTCAATTTATTGATTTTCTTAGAGAATTAGTATTAAATTAAGGGTAATATAGTCAATTTACTCAATAATTTATTATAAGTCAAATAAATTTAAAATTTTCTTAAGAGACGCGAAGTTCCAAATGTGACAAATATTATAGAACAGAGGTAGAAACAAGTATCAAACATTTATATTGAATAGCATGTAATATTATTGCTAATCACGTGGTGATCTGATTGATTTTTTTATTTATGCGAAGAGTGTCAAATCTCGAGTTTGAGTCCTACTAGCCCTATTGTGTAAAATATATATATATATATATAAATATGAAGCAACAAGTAGCATGTACAAAAAATGCTCCAAAATCCAATTGATGAAAAGAAAAAGTTATTACTTGCTGATTAAAATCTTTACCTAACATTCTAATCTACTCTTAGGTGCAAATTAACTATCAGATGAACCAAATATTATTTAAGTTAAATACTCTCTTTGTTTCATAAAAAAAGACTCAGTTTCTTTTTTTATTTATCGTAAATTATAGTATTAATTCCTTTTTTTAAAAGAGATAATGTTTGCAAATTTTAAAAGTTATATTCCACTTCTGTTTAATATGTGATTTTATCAACAAAAATATTTTTGTTGCTATTATTAAATTTTGAAATAAACTTATCCAAAAAAAAATTTAAAATAAACAATTAGTTAAAACATGGATCTTCCATGTTTCTAGATTAGGAAAAAACAATTAGATGTGTGAAAATTATGGTTTAACCATATTAGTTGTACTCTCTTGTTATATAAATATATATTCACTTTCCTTTTTCATTTATCTTAAATTATAATCCTATTTCTCTTTTTGTAAAGAATAATTATTTTTGTTTTTTATTCTACTCGATTAGCAAAGTCATAATTATAATTATTACCATTAATATTAACCAACTATATAAATTTGATAGGGTTAAAAATTTAAATTTTGATTAATTTCAAAAATGATTTAATATGAGTTATAATACAACAACTTGAATCTTTTAATAATTAATATTATAAGAGTATAATAAAAAATAAAATAAAATTATAGATTAATTATGTTAATATTTTCTTAATATGTATGAAAGTAAGCTAGGACTATATTTATAGGAGACAGAGAATATTTTTTTAATGTGTAAGTATTTTTTTTAATATTTCTTTAAATATTTTTTACTATATTTAAGCATATTTTTACGTGATAGAGGTAAGTATATTTTTAATATTTTAATATGTATATTTTTTTTGAATGGAAAGATTTTAAATATGTATATGATTCTAGGTAGAGGTAGAGTAAGTCTATGAGAATTTATTTATTATGGAAAAAAAAATATATAACCATTGGGTGGTGCGAATCCAACAAAGAAATGCACTTGCAGCACACATGATCCCAGCCCATCCACAGTCAACTGAAAGCAGCCAATGGCCAAATCGTAATAGTCTGCTAAATGAAATCTAATTTTGACCACCATCTCAATATAAACAAGTTCGTTCCAGGAAAAAAAAAACAAGAAATACAAACTACCTATATAAGGAAGAAAAACCAAAACGACCAAAGAAATCTCTCTCACTTGAAACCCAAACAAGATGAAGAAATTTTAGAGAGAAACCAAATCTAAATCCACCAAATTCTCCCATTCCAATTCTTTTTCTTGATTATCTTAAGGATTTGAAAAACCCAGATGGCAAACCAGCTAGAGAATCTAGTGCAATCAATAAAATCAAAAGTTAGAGCCTTGAAGAAATCCAAGAAACCTTATATCAAAATGGACAAAAGCTCAAGTGTTAAAGTTGAGATCCGTAGCAGAAAAGCGAGAAAGCTTATCGATAAGACTCTCAAGGTTGCTGATCGCCCTGGCAAGGGTAGTATTTCTTGATTTTACTTTTCTTCTGTTATAACTTAATTTCACTACTAATTAATATATCATTGTCTGTAAATAGGTTTTTTATATTAGAGTTTTTCTTTTCAAGTGCCTACCGATTCTGTGTTTTTTTTTTCTTGGGAAAGCTTGGAAGTGTATGTGTATGGAACCGTTTCAGTTTTGGCTTAGCAGACAGTTCTTGTTTTTCTTTTAAGATAGCTGTTTTGTTAATGAAGTCAAATTTAGAATTTTGAATGTTACGATTGTAGTTGTTTATTTTTCATGAATGGAACCCAAAATTCAACTTTAACTATGACTTTTTTTTTCAAGAATCTCTTAGTTGAAATTTAGTGTTCTTCAATGTTTTATTTATTTATTTGTTTGTTTTGTTGTTACATTTTGGAGTAGACTGACTTTGTGCATGAGATAGGATTTAAGAGGATTCATTTGGAAATTTAATTTAGAGATTTGGCAAATGATTTAATGAGGATTTGAGTAATTAATTCTTGATTTAACGAAAGTTTGAATTTGAAATCTTTTGTCGGAGTTTGCCCCCTATCCATTCGGCCAATAAGTTAATGTTGTTAGATTAGAGTTATTTTATACCAACAAGTTTTTAATTGCGAGTTGGTTGAGGTAATAAGCAATCTCAATTCCCGTAAGATTGAAAATACAAGTTTAAATTATGGAAAGCGATTTGCTGTGAGTATAAAAAATCTTTATATTATAGGGATGGAGGGTATTACACCTTTTAGTTATATATATATATATGATGAAATAAATTCAGACTTAATGATTAGAAAATGATTCAACTTGAATCCATTATTTTATATTGCTATAAAAATAAAGATTCCATGATTAGATAAGTGAGCTTTAATTAGCATAAATTGACTTTAATTATATATATGTACGTAAAATTAGATTCAACTCTAATAATTTTCTCTTTAAATATTTTTTATTAAGTAAATAATTGAGTAATTATTTGATAATCATATTGTACTTGCAGTTCCGTAGTATTTAGAGAGTTATAAATTAAAATGATGATCATCTTTAGATTTGAGGTTAAGACTTTCTGGTTTGGTGCATGAATTGAGAGGAAGTCACCGACAGAAAATGTGTGCACTATCTTAATGGGTTTAAGGCTATGTGTCTGGCACTAGCAACTGTCTCTGTGCACAATCGCACTACCTGTCTTCTACTAATTAACTATGATACTACATTTTTTTTTTTAATTTGATTTAGGATTTATTCGGTAAAATTAACTATTTTTATAGCTGTTAGTTATTTTAGTAGCGTATAGCTATTTAAGTAGCTAGTAGCTATCTTTTTATAAACCACTGTATATTAATTTCTAAAAGCTAAGCTAGCTCAAATGTATTTTATGTTATTGAAAATAGTATTTAACATTTTGATTAGTTAAAATGCTAAAAGTACTTAACAAGCGATGATTTTAAGTTAATTAGGACTTTTTCTTTACACCCTCTTTCCTGCCGTAAAATAGACTGGCTTTAGTATAGTTTTATTTTCTTAAGTGGATAACTTTTTTAGTTTTTTTTGTTCTATTTTGATTTTATTTACTTCTGGATTAAAATAAGTGGTTTTCTTCGTCTTTTTTAATTCTAAAATAAGCATCGTTTTTATAATTTTAAAATTCAATTAATTTTTTCTTTCCTAATCTACCCTTATTTATTTAGTATTCTACTCATAATATAATTATTCCTCAATTACTCTCCTAATTTAATTGAGAACAAAATAGACATCTTTGTAAAATTTAGACTATTAATTATATTTGTTAATCTATGTGCCGAGCGAAAAAATGATAATTATTTTAAAAAGGAGAGAGTTTTAATAAATGTATTTCTATTATTAATCTATACGAAGTTATTTAAGTAGTAAAATATATTTGAATTTAATCAATGATTTTAGCAAAGTCAAAATTTAGAGAAAAATTATTTCTAAAGGACAACCAAAAATGCTAAAGTGAGAATAATTTCACATCAAAAAATGGTGATGACATATTTGTGGAAAAACCATAAAAAAAAATACTATTACTAATCAAATCTTGAAATATAACTAATTAGAAAATATAGATCTTCCATATTATTTTGTGAACAAATCAGCAAATAGCGTTGCTCATCGGTTAGCAACTAAAGTCTATTCTGTGTCTGGTCTTATGGAGTGGGGACCTGTCCCTCCATCTTTCCTTGTTGATGCTGATGCTTTATTTGCAGACTTACATTAATGAATACATTTCCTTTCAAAAAGGAAAAAAAAAAAAAAAGGAAATAATCTTTCACAATAGTGGCAAGTTTATAAAGTGGCACTAAAATTGTAAGGATATTTAAGTTAAAGAAAAATTATAGTTTAATTATATTAACTATGCTTTTAAGATATTTGAAAATCAAATTAGGTCTATCCTTATAAAGCTGTGAATAATTATTTATTAAGGGTAAAATTTAGTGCATGTCTGGTAAAATTAATTATTTTTGAAGTTGTTAGTTAGCTATTTTAGAGCGTTTAACTGTTAATTATTTGATTAGCTTTTCATAAATGCTAAAAGCTAAACGTTATATAAATAAACTTTTTTATAAAATACTACATTAATATCTAAAAGCTAATTGAAATGCTATATTACCGAACACTATAAAAAATAGCGTTTAATGATAAAAGCTACTTAAAAAACTGTGGTCGAGTACAACCTTAGAGAGAACTACCCATCATTAGGCGGATGGTCTTATGCGTTTGTATATCATTTATTTATTTTTTCTTATAAAGCGAGTAAACTTAAAATTTTTGTTATATTTATAAAAATTAAATTTATTAAAAAGTGTTTATTTATTCATTTATATTAAGTTAGTTAATTTTCAGGGAGGCATACGCTTTCTTAAATCTTTAGCAATGTTAAATCCCTCTCAAACATTTTATTCTTTCATATATTGGAATTTAAATGAGTTACATAATAAGAGTAAGTATTGTCTAATATTTTCTGTCATTTTCTTTGCACCTAACATAAATTTTGTAAATTAAATGATGGAAAACATAATCAAGGAATCCAAAAACATGTACTTGTGTAAATTATACATATTTCTATTTCTATATCTTTATAAAATTGTCACATTTTTTAGTATATCATAATTCTAGCTCTCGTGTTAAGTAAGAAAAAAAAAATCTGAATTTTTATGAGTCTTTTGTATATAGTGTGATTTCGTATATTTTATACATTATCTACGTGTAAAGGTTGATTTATTGAAATCGTAAGTTATTCACAGAGAATATATATAGATGTTAGCACATTTATAAAATTGCAATAAATTTATGAAATAGTTTTTTTTTTTCCCTAATCCGGGTATGTAAAAAACCAAAACCAAGAATACAAAGAAATTTCTAAAAACTCCATACACCAATTATATATAAACCTTGAGGAAGAAAGTGCAAGTAGCAGCAGAAATGTGACTAGTCCTAAAAGCCCAATGGATAGAGAATAGCCCATGCAAGAAAGCTTAAATAAGTAGGAGTAAGAAATCACTTTAGTTGCAATATTAATTTATCAGAACAAGCCCTAATCTAGGTATGTAGAACTTAGAGTTATTCCTTGGGCAATTTAATTTTTGTTTTCTAAATAGAAAATTTTTACCTCAGTAAATAAATATAAAATAAGAGAAACATTTACCTGCACCTATTTATAGATTTATTTATACAGCAAATCAATTACAAATAATATTTTGATCTAAAAAGGAGGTATTTTTGATTATACATTAAAAAAATAAAAAATAACATTTTTTTAAGAAATTATTTTTTTATTGATTTAATGTAGGTAAATATTATCCATAAAATAAATATCTGTTGTATATATAATATTAAATCCGCTATTAATTTTTTCCTTTTATTTAGACTAATTAAACATAAGATATTAGTTTTCTCAAAAAAAAAAAAAAAAAAAAAAATATCTGTTGATATATAATATAAACCCGCCTATTAATTTTTTCCTTTTATTTTTTAGACTAATTAAACATTTAAGATATTAGTTTTCTCAAAAAAAAAAAAAAAAAAAAAAAAAAAAAAAGAGATATTTGACCAATAGGCGCTGCTGAATAAGAGCAAATTGTTGAGAGGACTATCAAAATACCCCACATCCCAGTGTGAATCAGGTTTTGCAAAAAATAAATAAATAAATAAATAAATAAATAAATAAAAATTTAAAAAATACAAAGATATTTAATATCATTTATATCCTATTTTTTTGAAAGACATTTCTATCCTTCTTAGAACGTCGAAGCATAAAAATCACTTAATATCCAAACATATAATTTTTCTAAATTTCATGGATTAAATATAGTCCTTTCTTTTATTATGCAAAAAAAAAAAAAAAAAAAACAAAAAAAAAAAAAAAAAAACTTGGACATATAGAAAATAAAATTATTAATTTGTAAATTAGATCCAACTTCAAATATTAAATAGTAAGTCAATTGTGTCTTAAAAAAAAAAAAAGAATCGTATGATTTAGTTGGTCTTCTCACTTATATGAGAAGTGAGAGGTCTTGAGTTTGAGGTTGTTGACTACAAATGTCTTCACCAATTTGATGAGTTCAAGAGAGAATTACCTTTATTCTATAGCCTATAATGTTATTTCGGCCTGTCGAGCCTTCAATATATTAAATAGTAACCAACCCTTGTTTATAAGATTTCAGTTGTAATTATTCATGCACTTTGTGCTCATGACACTCCTGTAGGCATATATCATAACAGCCAAGGAATGATATTTTTATATGAATTTTCAAGTCAAGAACAGGCAACATTTGGAATAAATCAAATTCGCTTTGTTTGATAATGATAAATTAAAATGATAATATATTAATTATATCTGATATGAAACAATTTGAATTGTAAAATTCACTTAAAAGTAACAAAATTTGATTTAATGATTTTGAATTTTATAAAATTCTGTAGAATTCATTTACACTAAATTTTATAAAATTTCAATTTACAACGGCATTCTTATATTACAAATTATCAAACACAAAATATACATTCTCATTACAGCTTTTTAATGAACTTATAATCACACAATAATAAACAACTTAATTATAATTTCCTTCTAACAGCAAGACTTACTTCTGGGATACAAATTAGCCACTCTACCATTATCATCTTCTCTAAAAGAACAAGGTCTATCTTCATCGATTCTCCCAAGTTTTCCTACCGCAACACTGTAACTCCTTTTCATCCCACAAAGATCACCTTGCTCGCGAGAAACCAACTGTTGAAGATGTTTTAACTCTTCATCGTTCATTGTCTTTGAAGAATTAACAGTAAAATTCTTAGGGAAGTGAGGAGCTCCAGCTCCACCGCCTGCACTTACATAGCCAACCTTACCACTATCAGCAAAATCTAACATACCTTTCACATAAAAATCTCTTGCCTTGCATAAAATTCTAATGGGTGATCTTGTAATTTGCATTAACTTGCTCATCTTGTTTTCTTTGCTCCTCATTGCTGACTTGTTAAAATGAAAAACAAAATGAAGATCTTCTTTTCTTTGATCAATCTTTTATGTTTTAAAATAAATAAACAATAAGAGATGTTGTTTTGAGTATGTAGTTGATCAAACAAGTGTGGAATTAGTACTTGGAAAACATGGAAAATCGGTTGAGGTTATGAGATAGATTAATGCTGGCTTAAGGCTTTATTTATACTTTGTGCTCATTGATTTTTCACATATTGCAAATAAACATAATTTAATTTTTATATATAATTTTTTTATTAATTTTTTTTATATATAATTTTTTATTAATTTGTTTATAAATTATAATATTATGAACTGTGTATATTAAACTAAAAATTATTTTCATAAAATAAAAAAGAACATTTATGAAATAATTAAAATTTAAAAAATCCCAATAATTTAAATAACTTAATTAATGAAATAAAATTTTCATAAATTAATAAAATTATTATTATAATTAATAATAAAATATTATTATAATTTGACAGACAAATTTTCATGAAAATAGAATTATTTATCAATCAATTTAAATTTTCTTATAACAATTTAAATTTAATTAACTTAATTTTTTTCCTATATAATATAATACCATGAACTATATATATTACTAAAATATGAGAAGCCAATATTAATTATTATAATAATTAATATATTAGTCATTTTTCAGAGCATCATTTATAATTTTTTAATATTTGTTTACTTTTTACTAAAGTATATGACCATATAATTAATTCTATGGTTACTTTTTTGGAAAAAAAATCTTTTAATATATTATATGGTTTGCTAATATAATATATATATATGTTATAACGAGTTTTATTTTCTATTTTACATCAAACTATTAAAAATCTCACATCGACTAAATACTAAACCCAAAAATGATATATAAGGATGATAAACTAGCTAGTTAATTGATTAGCAGTAATCTTTTAGTATTAGTTGACCCAAATCTAGGTAAGCTCACATCATATATTTTCACTTCATGGATTCTAACATCTTACCCAATTCGCCTCTATACTTTCATTTTCTAATATATTCCATTTTTTTAATCTTGATAGAGGGGAGAATTCGAACATGGATATATCGCTAGGTCGTATATGCACTTACCACTAATATGCCTTAGTGTGCTCTTCTAATATATTCCTTAATAAATAATAATAAATTACATTTATTTTTTGTAGAATAAGTTACTTGTGAGAAATAATTATAACCAATAAAACTAAAGATTTATTAAAAATAATAATTAAATATATTATATTCCTACCAAATTTGGTATGTAGCTTATATAGTATAATAACAATCAAATTAAATTACATTTATTTTACAACCAATAAATTTAAAATTCTTAAAGGTGTTATGTTCCTACCATATTTAATATTATACCTTTTTTTAGTATCCATCAAATAGTATTGTCATATTACCATATATTATTTACATATTATATTACCATATATATATATATATATATATATTACCATATAATATGTACTATATTTGATGTATATATATTATATATCTTATTTAATATTTTATTATATAGTTTCGACTTCAAAACCACTGATTCAGTTATAAAAAAAGTGAAACCGAATGGTATACCAATCCAATAGAATTTAGATTTAAATACAAAATTAATATGACTAGTCAAATCGTACGTTGACTATACTCGTTATATATTCATTTTTTATACTCGTTTAATTTTTTATTTATAATACTCGTTTAATTTTTTATTTATATAATATTAAAATATAAATTTTTATTTAAGTTGAATGGTTAAAATATATTCCACTTTATAGATACAATAAATATTTTTTTTAGTTATATGTTAACGTACTGATTCATACAGTTTTTATTATACGTTAGTTTTTTTCATTTTTTTAAAGAAAAACCAAATTGATTTATAAAAATAATCATATAGCTTCAATTATGAGTTTTATAATTAATCAGCATGTTTTGTAAATAACTTTCACTATAATCTTTTATAGTAAATAAATATACTTTAACAATTGAACAAGAAACCAATCTAATAATTCAAATTAAATATTTATAAGAATAATTTTTTTTTATTTTATTTTTATTTTTTAGCCAATTAAAATCATAAAAGCATTTAAAACATTATTAATAGAATTATATTCTTTAATATAAATAGGATTTGAATTATGTAAGATATCAATATAACTAATCAAATTCAATTCAAGATATTTAAAAATAATAATTTTTTATCATTTTTTTTGGCTAACAAAATAGAGTGCAATTTGTAAATTAAAAAAAATTTAATCATACCTTTTTTAAATCAAAATTGGAGATCATCTAGATATATTTATATAAAATTAAATTCAAAAAAAATATAAAAATTTTCAAATGTCTCATATTTACATATATTAATTTTAAAATAATAATGTTGAAGCTAATTAATAAATAATAAATAAATAATACATCGTAAAAAAATTATTAAAATTATTTTTAATAAATTTACATAATAATAAAAATAAAATAAAATAAAATAAAATTAGACATAATAAGATAATAATAGTAAAAATTTAAAATTTTGAAAATGCTTAATTATCCACATATATTTATCTTATTAAAAAAGTAAAAAAAACATCCAAATCAAATAATAGAAATATATATATATAGAAATATATATATATATATATATATTTAGGTTAAAAGTTTTTAATTGGTTATGAATAAAGTTATTTTAGGATATCTTAAATTTCAAAAGGACAATATCGACAATCGCATTATTTGTCTCTCAATCTCACTTTTATATATGGTATAAATATAGATTTTATAAATTATAAATAAATTATAGATAGATGTATAATGTTTGGATTAAAATGGCAGTTGAGCTTTTCTTGGAAACAACATTAATTAGGATAAATCTAATAAGTGAAATACAAATGTGGGAGGTTTGGTATAAAAGAATTCAAAATATGGATTTTTTTTGTAAATGAATTCTACTACAATTTATTTGTGAATGAATTTTCATATTTGGTATGCTTAATTTAAAACATGTAATTAATTTGAATTTCACGTAATCATTTATGAAATAAATTCATAATTTGAAATTCATTTATTTTTGTTTTCTAAAATATCCTAGAAATAATAATTTTGCAAAAATAAATAATAAATTCCAATTATAACTATGTTATGCTATATAGTGAATTCTAGTAGAAGTTTTCATAATTTTTTATATTTTTATTATAATAAATAAATAAAATAAAAAATATGAATAAAATTGTTGCATTTAATTTAGTGATAAATGTATATTTAACTTGAATCTCTCTAATCAATAGTGAAAAATGCTAAAAAATATTAAAATAAAAAAATATTAAAATAAAAAATATACTAAATAAAATACAATAAATGCTAAAAAATATTAAAATAAAAAATATATTAAAATAAAAATACAATAGTAGGAAAAAATTTTTCCGAAAAAAATTTTTTTTAAATGGTTTTGTCAAGTTTGATAAAATAAATAATTCAAATAAGTAAAAAAATTGTAAAATTAACTTTGTAGATAGATAATGGTAGTTTTGTCATAAATAGTTGGATTGCTTGCTTTTGTGGAATTCTTTTGAAAATTTCACCTATTTTCGTGAAATTTAGTATTATCATGTTCAATTCCATGAAATTAAATTTCTAGAATTGAAATTTACATTTTTTTCATCCAAACACAAAAATATAGATTTTCAAATAAATTTCACAAAATTTTGTGGAATTCTTTTGTTCCAAACAAGAGGTAAGTTTAAAAGATATAGTAGAAAATTTAATAAACTAAAAGGTTGGTGGTCTCCACCGACTTTTTTAAGTAGTCAATGTTTTACTATATAGTTTTTAAGGTGATGTTTGGTTAGAGATAAGCAGAGAAGGGAAGTTAAAGTTCTGAGAAAGTTGAAACCAGCAATATGTTTGGTTGCCACTATAGGAGAAGTTCTCAGGAATTTAATAATCCCACTTCCTTAACCGTAATGGAAGTTACTTCCTCCCCTCACTCTAACGAACTTAACTTCCCGAGCTTAAAATATTTTTTACTTTCTATTTTGTCCCTTTTTTTTATTTTTTTGTTTGCCAAATGCTTCACATGAGGACTTTTCTAGTAGGGATATTTATGTCATTTTAATGTCAAATGTTATTAACACATTTACTTTTCAGTAATTCAAAGAATCAATCAAATACAATCATATACTTCTTGGGAAGTTATTTCCCTAGAATTATATTTTCCGGGATATTGAACTTTTGGGAAGTAAGTCAATTTGAAGCAAACGATGCCTAAATTTGTTTTTTATTTTTCTTTTTTCTTTTTTGTTAAATGCATTAGGAAAAATATTGGCAGTGAATTACAGACATCAGAACTATAAATTGTAATTACATGTATTGAATGAACATATAAATAATTACCATCATATGTGTGTGAGTGAAATATTTATTACTAGTTGTGAATATAATAATACGGCTTTTACATGTTTGGTTTGGAAAAAATTTGAAACTAAATTATAAATTATACAGTTTATAAAATTTTCAAATTGAACCAAGCTATTGTAAATAAAAAATTAAACTGAACTAAATTGAAATAATACATTTTAGTTTGGTTTCTTACAGTAAATTAAAAATTTTATTTCAATAAAGTACTATTATACTCATTAAATTGTTTTGTTTTTTTCTATCCATTTTAATATTTTTTCTTTTAAATAAAATATTGTTATTCATATCATTCAAATTAATTGAATTTTTTGGTTTTAGATTTCATTAAGAGTATTAAATTTATGCATGAAAGTCATTCATAATTTAAGTAAAAAAAATCATTCAATATCATCCTAATAAAATAGGAAATTTATAATATGTAATGCTAATTAATTGAAATATTAAACTTTACATATATTTGTTTATGGGTATACGTGTGTATTATATATAAAAAATTATGGCTAATGATATGTTTTACGTTATTTTGATAAAAGAATTGAAACCAAATTATAAATTGTTTATCA